TGTCGTCTTCGTCTTGATTAAATATATTAGACTCTTCGTCGCTTCTTGACATGTTTTAAGTGTAAAAGAAACTAGTTTCACAGCTGTGCTTTTTTTTTTTTTTTTTTTTTTTTGCAGCCAACCAAAACACACACACACACACACACAGAAGCTCCGGTCTTTTTGATACTCTTATTATTTTTCTTCCTTTTCTCTCTACTATTTACTACCCTGATGACAGTGCTTGACATTCGTGGCTGCTTAGACGATTCACCCACTTTTAGAAAACGAGTTCAAGCTCATGAAGAGTCGATTCAAAACTTTGAACAAATATTGAAGACGTTGATCAAACTGACTCGTTCCCAAGTTGAGTTATCAGCAGGTTCAACAAAATACACACAACCCAATACTCCAAGAAACACCAACTGTTTTACTTTATAGCTTATAGTCAACAACAAAAAGAACTAGCCGAAACGTTCCTTTCGTTTGCACAGGCGCAAGATGATCCCATCGTGGGTGCGTTTTCTATTCATCGACAGAAAAATAAGTCTGTATTCATCTTGTTATATTATAGCTCAAGCACTAGAAAAGTTTGGAAAGTCAGTTGTCGAAGTTGAGAAAAGTCGATCCATGTTTGTAAGCTAGATACAAAAGAGAGAGAGAGATGGTGTGTGTTCTGTTGCTAATAATAGCCCCTAGAACACGCATGTTACAGACATGTTTATCATGCCTTTAGATCTATTCGTTAAAGAGACAATCACGCCTATCAAAGAGCTGAAAAAGAAGTTTGAAAAGTCAAGTGATGATGTGGATTCTGCTTTATCGAGGTATATGAGTAAAAAACCAAAAGATCCAACATTGCAAGAATCTGCCAAGGAGTTGGCAGATACCCGAAAAACCTTTCATAAAGTGTATATGGAATACGTGAGCAAGTTGAATGATATAGAAGCAAAGAAAAAGATTGATTATATGGAGAATGTAAGTACCGAGACGTTCAACAAAAGCAAGATAATTAATGTCTTTTGTTGTTGTTGTTGTTGCAGGTGCTTGCTTACATGTATACAGAATCTGCATTTCATCACCAGAGCTATGAAATATTGAAGGATTTAGAGCCTTATATGCGCGATTTAACTGGTTTATTGTACGATGTAAGTAGGCAATGTGTATTGTTTTGGCCAAAAAAAGATGTCTTACACAGTTTAATAAAGACGAGACAAAGATATAGTGAAGAAGTTGACGTGGACTTACAATATCAGAAAACGCACGAAATGGTAATCATGCGCGATGGGCCATATAGTACGTGTTTACTAAATATTACACAGTCCACAGCAGATCAGTACAATCCTATGCAAAATGCAGCAGACATCGAAAAACCAGCGGCTATTACCAACAAATCTGGTTACTTGTTTGAGAGAAAGAATGGTAGAGTCTACCAAAGTTGGTCAAGAAAGTACTATAGCATCTCCAACGGAGAACTCACAAGTATCTCTCGCAATCCAAAAGTAATGAGACAGGGATGAGAGAAAGAGCATCTTTTCTAACAGTTTTTGTTTTAAATCAGACAAAAGATGAGGATGGCACCCAGACTTATAATCTACGCGTCTGTAGTGTGAAATATTCGGATAGTTATGATAGACGCTTTTGCTTTGAAGTGATATCGCCCAATAGGTATGTCAATATAAGAGTTTATTTTTATGCGTATTCACGTTTCTCGATATTGAAGAGTACTGGTATTACAAGCAGAAAACGAAAATGATATGAACGAGTGGATACAAAGCATACGCACAGCAAGTCAATTAGCACTTAATTCTGATGAAAAGCCAAGATATTCTCATCCTTCTCCAAATTTAAGAAAGGCAAGTAATGATGTAAACCTATGTTGACCATGTATTAATCAAGGTTAGCAGATGGCAATTGAATCAGCTAGCGTCGCAAAGACGGTCGAACGACAGGGTGATGAGTCAAACAAAGAAGCAGTGAAAAAGATTCGACTGGTGCCTGGTAATGATAAGTGTGCGGATTGCAAGGAAGATTCTCCTGAGTGGGCCTGTACAAATTTGGGCATTATCGTCTGCATAGAGTGCTCTGGGATCCATCGAAGCTTAGGAGTCCATGTCAGTAAGGTTCGATCTGTTGTATTGGACAATTGGGAGTCGGAGACTATTGAGGTAAAGGGGTAGAATGGTAACTGTTGCAAGAAACTCACGCCAACTCTAGGTCATGCTCCAATTGGGTAATGAAGTAGGGAACAGCATCTATGAAGAATCGGTGCCTGCACATTTGGAAGAGTTCCGGATTGATCCAAGCTCACATAGGTAATCTATTGAAGGGGGATAATACAAATAGTACTAAAGATCAAATTTGGGACATAGAAACGATAGAGACTTGTGGATCATTGAAAAATACGTCAAGCGATCCTTTGTGAGCCCTGCAGAGGTTGACCAGGTTACGCTAGATAAGAATTTCTGGAACTCAATAGCTGAAAACGACCTGCAACATGCATTAAGATACCTTGCACAGGGTGCAAATGTTGACTACAGGAATACTGAGGAAGGATTAAAAACAGCTCTACATAAAGCAGTAGACAACAACAATGAAGTTGCTGTAGAATTTCTCTTACAAAGACCAAGTGATGTTGACGAAAAGGATGAAAGAGGATGGACAGCGCTTCATTATGCAGCAGCCAATAATAACGTTCGTTTGGTGCTGACACTCTTGAAAAGACACGCCAAGGCTGATATTGCAGATAATTCGAATATGGTAAGTTTACAGGGGCGCTAGGTGATAACAAATACTCAAAAGATAAAACAGACGCCTCTGGATATAGCAGTAGAAAAACAATTTGTGCAGGCGGTCACTGCTTTACGATTATTTGCATTTGACAAGCAACATAATGCATCGCCTTCGAGCTCTCTAGACTTTGGTTTTAGAGAAGCAATGTCAGCATTCAAACATACTTGCAATGAACGACCTAATATCACGTCTTCCCACTCTGCTGTTGACATAAGCCATACCAAGCCCATGGTCAGTAAATCGGATGTTGTGCTTCTGGACGATCAAAATAGCGAGTTGCTTCATCCTGATAAATAAGTCAATATATACTTAATACTGATTAATTATACTGTACCTTTATTATTATTCCTGCCTTAATGCTGATAGATTCCCCCCCCCCTCTTTCTCTTCTTATTTTGAACTAATATGATATTATAAAAGCTTTATAGATTTTTACTCTGTAGTTTTAAATCAAAATGTTTTTGGTCACATAGAATATTTTATCATAAAATGTATTATTTATTGAAATATAAAAGTTAAAAGAAGAGATATTAAGTATTAGTATAGAGTGATTAATAGTAAAAAAAAGCTGGCGTCGTGATTACTCCATTTTTAGTAGAAGCCTTGCTTGAATGCAAGACCAGCAATGGCAAGGCCAAGACCGTAGAATATGACAGAATAGAGCAAGCGTACATGGCGGTTATCAACCACAAGCTCAACAACAAACCAAAAGACGGCAAAGGCAGTAAAGAACCAAGCAAGGATCATGACTGCACGTGTGGAAGCACGAGCAAAGGAGTTCATGGCAAGCAAACAAAGAAGAGAGAATAAGGCATCCTTGACGATTTGATGAGCACGATCTAAGCGACCTGCAAAGCTACCATTGGCAGCACCAAAGAATTTCTTGTTGGAGACTTCGGCGTCAGTTGTAGCATTTGCATCAGGAGAAGCCGAGACAGTAGGGCTGGTAAAAAAGAAGTTACGGAAGATCCAAACTAATCCCCAAAAGACCCAGAGTGTCATGAAGGCGATCCAAGTGACGCGAACATGCCAGTCTTCAACAAATGCATTGATATCAGTGATCATGTAGCTTGTGATTTGAGCGTTTTCAGCAGACATTTCGATGGTTTTTATTTACTTGAAAAGATGAATTGATAAAGTTGGATCAGGTCGAATTAAGGTACTTATTTATATACTTGCTCTATTACAAATAATCGGACCGGTATTTGAAATTTAGCATTGATGGAAAAATTAAAATACCGAAGAGCATTGTTCCTTTGTTGGAAAATAGATGCTGTCAAAATCAGAAAAGAGTCCTTGTTTTCAGGGCACAATGGCCGTAATAACTCTATATGACATTATCAAATATAATCTAAAACAACATAATACGTTATGTAGAAAGATTAGCCCTGGAAACAATCTTTTATTGTAGGATAAAGATCAAACCATTTCTCCGGACTTACGGCAGCAAAAGAATAAAGTATTTTCCACATGAAAACACTTTGGTTCGAAAAAATGTAACTATGCTATACGTCATAGATTCCGCATGACGAACAAGTAGCTACTAATGAGATAACAAGTCATGCTATAGTGCAACACGCGTTCCTATGCTTACAAGAAGTAACTCTGCCGTCAAGCACACGCTCTACTTGTTCATGCGAGGTTAGTAACTGTCATTTGGAGAATAAAGAACCATACACTAAACTGTACTGTATCACGTTACACGCATTGTCACAGTTTGGTAAAATCATCTAGAAGACAAAGAATAGAAAGGAGCATTGTCTATTGCGGGTAGACATATACGTATCTCGAGAACAAATAACGGATACAGCGTAATATCCTTCTTTTTATTTCTTTCATATCTGCCTAGAGAGAAAGTAAGATCTTCCGCAGCAATACTATCATTATTAATCGGAAGACTCGACAGAAAAAAAAATTCATCCGGAAACCGGATCCACAGATGGCCATCTGATTAAGGTTACATATTGCCTTACTGAGGATGTGAATAAAGTGCGCTCTTTGAGTAGAGAAGGTATGTATGTCAATATTATTGTTACATTAAAGTCAACCAAGTATTAGTCATCAAACACTTGAGGGATAATGCCATTGACAGCGTGTATCTGCAGTGTGTATTAGTAATAAATCTGTTATAATAAAAAACAAACGAAGAATCTTTATACAATGAATTCTAGAATCATCGATGAAACAATCAAAACGATCAGAAACTCATCTCACAAACAGACAGCTGATCATTCACCCCCCCTGGTTAAAACAATTAGCCATTGACTTGAAGTCTACAAACGTAGTACTGCAGGGTCAAGTGTAATTTGACTACCAAGAAAATGATTGGCCGTTTGTTAGCAAGCGATTGTCTTTTTAGAAAATTCAATTTGTCGGTTTCATGCTGTATTTAACAAAAAAAGGCTTAGGATTCCATAGTTTATAATATAAAATGATCTAAAATAAGTAAAGTCAGGGGAAAAGTAAAGAGGTGAATCACAGAAGCAATGTAAAAAAGAGCTGTATTTGAGCAAAAGAAGAAGTATCAAAGAATTCATCTGGCTTTAGGGTAGATGCTAATTTAGTGTCTAATCAGCTTTATTCTTTTCCCCTTCTTCTTTGTCGCATATTCTGTATTTGGATCCATTATTGTTTACAGGCTTCACATTCACTTTTATCATTGGTTACTTGTCTAACAGAGTAGTATTAATAAATGATTAAAAGATGTTTATGTAAAACATTTACTTTCTTTGTCGACATGCCTGTTGAAATTCATTCCATTCCTTAAGACACTTTGACCTATCATTATTGTTCTTTGCGAGACATTCTTTTAATGGAACATAATCACACAAGGTTCTTTTGTCTGGATTCATTATTAAAATATGGCTATTAAAACTTGATTATTTCAGGTCGACGCTACGTGAAGAAGAAAATGTGGTGTGACTTTATATTGCTGTATTTTCTTATAAAACACAAGACAAAAGAAGTACTCGTTACTAATCTTTATTCTGAGATAAAGACAGAATGAACATGCAAATGAATAAGGGTCTACTGTTTATAAGTATGGATTATAATGAAAGGGGATTTGATTAACTATCGGTTCCCGAGTTAACTCGTCCCTTTATGCCGCCCCTTCAAGCAGTATGCACCTATTGTTGTATTTGGTGATGGAATGAAGAACTCTGATACTGTTACGATAAAGGTTTCATGCATAAGGCACCACTGCAATACTTGAAAGGGAGAAATCAAGCTTAGATTAAGAACCTTTCAAGCAGCTATTGTTAGTTTGATGAGTTTAAAATCTCAAAAGTATGCAACTGCTGTAAGGAAACGAGTCTGAAGGCAACGAAGTTTTCAAATGATAAATATACCAAAAGTATTCTATATTGTAAAAACTGTCGTATGTTTTGAAATAGAAGATGTCAATGCATATAAAGCTATGCTGAATACACTATTTCCAGAAAGAAATGTCGCGCTGATTTGCTTTTTCGTATAAATTGTATTATAAAAATTACAAAAATGCTACTCTACTTTCTGAAGAGACTGTTTGCAATTGTTTATGTCTCTGTTGAAGCATATGACATGCGGCGTTTGATTTTTTATTTTTTTTCTCTATTTCCTTTTATTTTCCTCTTTTCTGCTTGAAAATAATGGGTAAGCGAAAAGCAATTTTCAGACAATAGCATAAGGAGACACTTAATATCCTCTCAAGGTGCACTTTTTAGCAGTCTTTTTAGTAAACTTTGGGGAGAAAAAGAGGTTCGTATATTGATTCTCGGTCTCGATGGTGCAGGCAAGACAACTATTCTTTACAGACTTCAGGTAAAAATAAAGACAAAGCATAAAGAATAGCGATAAAAACTTTAAAAGAATAGATTGGAGAAGTAGTTTCGACCATTCCTAGTAAGATGCAGAATGACACTTTAAACATCTACTAATTAGTAACCCGATTTAGCTATTGGTTTTAATGTGGAAACAGTGACATATAAGAATATCAAATTTCAAGTGTGGGATTTAGGTGGGCAGACAAGTATTAGGTTCATTTCTTAAATGCGAAAGGGAAAAGAGAAAAGCATTAACCTTTTATATATATAAAGGCCATACTGGAGATGTTACTATTCCAATACAGATGCCGTCATCTATGTAGTTGATAGTGTAGATAAAGATCGTATGCAGACATCAAAAGAAGAATTACACGCCATGTTAGAGGAAGAAGAATTAAAAGATGCAGCTCTTCTTGTATTTGCAAATAAGCAGGATATGGAAGGTGCTTTATCTGCTGCCGAAGTGGCCGATGCTCTTGGTTTATCGACACTAAAGAATAGACAATACTCTATCTATAAGACAAGCGCGGTGAAAGGTGAAGGATTGACAGAAGGATTAGATTGGTAAGTGATAAAGAGAGAGAAAAATGCTGATATTAACTTTTTACTTAGGCTTGTAAACATTATTCAAGAAAATAAAAAATAAGTAGAATAACGTTATTATTTGATGCAATATATACAACTTGATTAGATCTTTTGGCTTAGGAGCAGGCATCAAGTGGTGTTTATTAAGAAATAAATTTTGAATATAATTAATAGTCTTTAAGATTCAACAGACTAAGAGTGCAAATACATAAAAGTGAAAGATTACAGTTATCATCAGTTCATATGAAGATCACATTGATACAGTATTCGCACTTTAAATTCAGACATAGTAATGTTAGTTTCAGACAAACGCATTTAAGTTTACCTGCATTAAAGGATTAGAGCGATAGCTTTGGCGGAAGGTTTCTGGTTTTTTTTTTATATATATACTGGTTTTGTTTCTTGTTTTCGGGTAAAGATCTTTGAGCGTTTATTTGTCTTCTTTAAGCTGACCAAAATCTTTCGAAAGTTTAAGATCCCTATTCCACAATTTTCTTTTAGATTCTTTGATAGAACATTTGGGGTTTTTACACCTAATAATTCAGTAGCTATTGTCATTACAAATTCTATTGTTACATTTACTACTATCATATACCTTGATAGCCCTTGACACTTAACCGTCGACATATCGACTCTTTTGTAAGGACGATGATTGATGATCGTCTTGAATGTTTCTAAATCGTCTTTACAATTTGGGCATTCTGAGGATGTTGTAAATTCATCAATAAGATGTACTGTAAGCTCACTCTTCTTCAGCATGCGAATTAGACCCTTATTTCTTGTTGGCTCGTGGGACTTTGTATGTGGGGCGGATCAATTCCTTAACACCAGGATGGCATCAAGACCAAATTATTTCTTCAAGTTTCTTACCAATGTTTCGTCATTTTGATCGTAGTGTTATTTTTCGTTTGTAGAGTGAGGCGGAGTTGTTGAGTTTTTCTTGTGTTGTATGATAGAGGTGCTTGAAGTGATTACCAGATCTTATAAAGCTGATCAGACTTTGTTATAAAAAGTAAAGTAGAAGATAAAGGTACATGGAGAGCAAAGCTCTTATATCTGCACGTTGTTTGTTGAAGTACGTTGAAAGACGGACCTTGCGAAAGAGGGAGTATCCATTATCATGGCTTGTGATGGTATGTCCGTAGAATCGACTGAGAACAGCAGACTGCTCAATCTGGTTTGAAGGAAGCGGTTAAAGCCTTCTACGGATGCGGTGCTGCTTGGCTGTTGAGAAAGGGCCTGCTCAGCTTGAACGACATCAGAATTCTGGGCTTTGAGGTCTTACAGCGCTATCCATAGCAAGATAATACCCTTTCATATGTGGCTACTGATCCATTTCATCCATCGTGGCCGTCAGAAAGCTAAAATAGTGAACAGTTACTATTCCTATACTCGTTTGCTCAGCATAACCTTCTCTCTTTCTTTTCTTGGCTGGCAGCTGCGGTAATCTCAGGCTATACTTTATTAATTCTGAAGCAGAGATCGTATCTAAAATTGTTGTTGTTTGTGCTCGGGTTTTGGGCACTGTGACCACAGCAGGCCATCCTTTTTTTGACCAGGCCATGCTACGTTTTAAATTAATGTGAAATGCAGACTTATCGAGAAAGACGCAATTAGTTCTAAAGTCCATGTCCGTACACTCCCACTTATGAACCCAATCAAAACGCTCCTGAGTTTTTCTTCAATGCTCCTATCTACAGGCTGGAATTGGGCTTTTTTGAGTGACAAATTACATTCAGTTCTTACAAAATTGTAGACAGTGCTTTTAGAGACCTTGAGATCCTGAAACTTTTGAACTAGTCGCTCCATCACTTGCTCCAAGATGGCTGAAAGATCCTTATCTATGTACTCCAAGATCACTTGCCTGTGTTCTTCATGAAGTATACGCGAGCGACTGGTTTTCTTATGCTTTATAAAAATACTAGCAGGATCTGTTTTGTACATTTGAGCCCATCTTTGAGCTGTGCGAACATGAATACCTAATTGTTTTTCAGCAGCTGAAGCACTCATAACTTTCTCAAACGTCAGTTTAAAGAATCCAACTTTGTCTTGATCCGTATAGAGTGTGTACGCTCGCTTACTCGGCGCCTCCTTCATGCAAGCATTTGGATCATCTTTTGCATCTTCATCTGCCACAGAGCCTACATCGAAATTATTCTCCTGAGGCTGATTATGCAAATACTGGGTGTATGAGCTAACTGTTTCTAAAGCATATTGCTCCTCATCAATGATGTAGACCATAGGCTCAGGTCTACCGTATTCATCAACCGCATTACCATGTCCGTCTTCATAAAAAATTTGAAAGCTTATATTGTAATACTCGGTGTTTAATGAGAAAGGGAGTTAAAAAAAAAGAAAAAAGAAAGAGCTAACGATGCTTTTGTGCTTCATATACACATATTTTGCACGGCAAAGCTTCTGCATACACGACATTTAGTTTGTCAGCAAGCGAAATCAACCAATGGTTAACGTGACATTAGAACTTAACAAGCACGAATTTTACTCTTGGCATCAGTATCAATAATTTTTGAAAATATTGTATAACTTCTTCACGCACCTATACCCTTCCAGATGATGCACTACTTTCCCACCTACTCCCATTGATCCGCCAACCTAGAAGTCACTCCCAATGATATAAACTCTCTAGGTCTCCCATTTGGAAACTATGCGCACCAAACCCAGAATTCCTTGATCGCCGCTCTTTACGCTTGATGCAAAGGAAGTTCCGCCAGGATAACCTCAATCACAAGCGCGCAACGCACGGCTCTGTTCTTCTTACGCACTGTCGTCCGACTATCTCCCTAGACCCTATCCTTTGGCTACCTATGACCAAGTCTGAGAGAAGTCGATGCATACGTTGGCGTCTTGGTTGGCTTCCTAGTGGTCATGACAAAACCTGTTCTCGGCACCCCTACCAGTCCTTCACCAAAACTCACGCCATTCACCGTCTCCAGATGCACCGCCGACTTATGATGCCCGAAACAATTTCAGATCCATTATCCTTCCTTTTGAATATGCTACCTTTGAAGAAACCACGCTCCTTTCAAGCCGCTCTCCCATGGACCATTTGCTGGCCAGCTATTTGCACTCTTCTTTATGAACTTGACTACCTCCATCATCAGAAGTGTCCACCTTCTCCGCCCCCACACCTTGGGCAAAAGCTCCTCGATTGGCCCCTCATTGTTCTCACTAGTGTATCTTACATTTGCCCCAACATCATTTCTTCAATAACTTTTTTACCCTTGATCTCATAAGGGTTTTTTAGATACTAATTCTTCGTTCTTTTTTGATCTGCCTCGGGCGAAGAAGATATACTATTATTGTGCGCCCACTTGAGGCTTTAATTGTAAATGAAAGACTGTTTAACCGTATAACTTCTTCAGTAGGCCCTTCTGCTTTTATTATTTCGCGGAGATTGTTTAACTTTTTCTCTTTTTCAAGCATTTTATTCAATATCATATGTAATCTAGTATCCTAAAGGCGAGTTGCTGATTTAATCTCAGATATCAAACTATATAATTAACTGAGGGAATGGCAACTTTATGCAGATCAATTATCAACAACAAGCTTACAATGAGCTTAAACAAGAAAAAGCCTTTAGTTAATCTCTCGCTCTGTTCATCTTTGTCTTGTTGGCCATTTTGTAGAAAGATACAATGCCTATAACGCTTGAGGAAATAAGGTCAGTACAGTTGATTTTGTCGGTTCTTGTCATATAACAAAATTTAGACAAGTAAAGTAAAGAATAGTTGCATAAGAAAGGTACTTTTATTACAAATAATTTACAGGCATAGTTTATTCGGGTGTTCGTTGTGTGCGTGCGTGCGGGGGGGGGGGCGACAGTTTGTTCGCTCGAAGCTGCGGAATTTTAAAATAAAGAATATCGAACAGTCAGCTTGAATACACCTTTTTTTTTTTTAGCTGGCCTTGTTATCTTTTCTTCTCTCTTTCTTATAAAGCATGTTTGCACAGTTTCGTACTGAAGGATTTAACGGTTATTCGGTATAACTTGAAATTTAAAAAAACACACTTTATATTTATATATCCTCACTAGTTAAAATGGAGCCCCTTTTTTGAAAACAAGCTGGCAGTTGCAACAGCTTCAAACTTTGGACTGGTGGGCAACGGTCGTCTATTTATTATGAATATGATGGGTGATAATATAACAGTAGAAAGAGGGTAAATATGGCGGTAGGTTTATTAGGAAGAGAAAAAAAAACTTACGTTACTATAGATACGATACACAGGATGGATTATTTGATGTAGCATGGAGCGAGATAAATGAGAATCAATTGGTTACATCAAGTGGAGACGGTTCAATAAAAATGTGGGATGCAACACTATCGGTATGATAGAGTGTATATATAAATCTGATCCGTGGATTAAACCTGCTTTTTTTTTATTGTAGGATTTTCCTATTCAAAACTGGCAAGAACATCAGCGAGAGGTGTTTTCAGTCGATTGGAACTTGGTGACTAAAGATGTATTTTCAAGTGGATCGTGGGACCATACTGTTAAAATCGTAAGTTATATGAGCAACATAACTCTCTCTTACTGACAGGCCACAGTGGAGCCCCCAAGCACCTCGATCATTGCAGACATACACAGAACATACACACTGCGTCTACGGTACCAGCTGGTCCCCCTATAACCCTACCATGCTCGCTTCAGCTTCAGGAGATCAAACCATCAAGATATGGGACACAAAGTCACCTCGATCCATGCAGACGATTCGCGCTCATCACAATGAAATCCTGAGCTTAGACTGGAACAAGTATCAGGAACACATGCTTGCTACAGGTTCAGTAGACAAGACCATCAAAGTCTGGGATTTGCGTCGACCTGATAGAGAAGTGATCTGCTTGTCTGGACATGAATTTGCTGTTCGTCGCGTCAAGTGGTCACCTCATAGGCCAAATATTCTCGGTAGTGCCGCCTATGACATGAGCGTACGATTCTGGGATACGGCTGCCGTACCTGGGCAGAACTTGATTCATGTGCATGATGCTCATACCGAATTTGTCCTTGGGTTAGATTTCAATCTCTATGTAGAAGGACAAGTGGCTACCTGCGCTTGGGATGAAAGAATCAATGTGTTTATGCCTCCTCCTCTGCTGAGGCGGTAATTATATTGTCTGTGTAAATTAGAGAGAGAAAGAGATTAAAATAGCTTGATGCTATTTCTTTTTTTAATAAAAAAGAAGAGAGAAAGAAGGGGGGGTATTAGATAAAATTAAATATAAAAAAAGTCGCATCTAATGTGTATGCATAATGTATGAATAACTTCGAACCGGCGAATATAAAAAAAAAGATGGATCAAATGGGTTTTCTGGCGGTATAAATCACCCATTCTATTGAGCATTTTTGCTCATCAAATTCATTGAGAGCGGCATATGTGATTTTATCATACTCCTTTTCTAACACGTTCAGTTCTGAAACCCACCAGGCCTTCATTGATTTAAACAAGGCTTTGATCACTTGCTTGTATAAGAAGCCATTCTCTCTTTGAGCTATTGTCATATAAGTAAATAAATAATCAAGATATTATAAATATATACCTTCATCTTCTGGCCATTCACCAATAGGTATCTTTATGATTTTTTCTTGTACATCAACAAAGCCTGCTTTGATCATAAAGTCCTTGAGCCGCTTTACTTCAGATGGATGAACACCAACCGAACTAGACGCGATCTTGTACCATTCGTTGACAAGTGCCAGCACCGGACCAGGATTCCTTACATCGAAATCTGTTTTATCTTTTTTAATATGATGCATGAAAACTCATGTGGCTTTCCCTTACTGTATTCCATAAATTCTATATAAGCCCCAGGTTTCGCAATCCTCTTGAGTTCGCTCATCAATGATGGCCAGCAGTCATGAGGTAAAACAGTGCTTGTGTCTCTTTGGAAGATGACGTCTATTGAATTATCAGGAAGTTGTAATCGAGTGGTCAAGTCTCCGTATTTGTAGACAACGTTCGGTGCACCAATAAGCGGGCTGATAGTTTCACTCCTATCAGGAAATGTGTCCAATCCGATAATTGTCGCATTAGGATATTCCAAAGCCATATCGAGTGTCCAGAAACCGGCACCGCAGGCACTGTCTAGGATGATGATGGATTTATCTCTTGACACAGGAACATGAATATTACCCTGTAGTATATGTTTCAAAACATAATGCTTTAAAGAAATTGATAAGACATGGAGAAGTTGGAGAAGGACGTATAGCATACCTGTCTTAGCTGTCTGTCGTACTCTTTTTCATCATTTTTGTTATAAGCTATATACGACTTGATAGGAGTCTTCCAAAACTTATCATCCAAGAGTGAATTCTGTGTGAATCTTGCTGAATCCAATACGATATCCGATGCTAATCCAGGCAGTTTTTTCTTTTTCTTTCTTTTATCATCCAATAGATCATCAGAGGCTATTGATGTACGAGGTGAAGAGATAACTTCATTATTATCTTCATCAAAACAAGATGCTAATGAGACAGCACTCATATTATCGTTCGTTGTCACTGTACTTTTCCTCCATGAAGATCGGCGTATCGGAGCAGAGGTAGACAGTGAAGAGATTGGTGATACATGATCAGAAAGTACAGTTTGATGTTTGACAGGGGTTACTTTAATTGTTATGCTGTTATTGTTATTATAAACGTGACCACTGCTGCCACTATTCCGACTGATGTAGTTACTGCTGTTCTCATCGGTTGCATTCGACATGATCGTATGCTGACTTGTGATCGATCGTTCTTTATGGCTCTTTTGTGGTTTTAATGAATATAACTTCCGTTTATGCTTTCGTTCACCAATTTCATCTTTACTGACTGTTCCACCCATATTTGTTGGTTTTAATCTTAAAAGAAAAAAAGAAAGAAAGAAAGGGAAGAAAGAAAATGGACTGGAGAGGATGAGCGAAAGCCCGTGTGACCAAACCCGTCACGATGCTTTTTATGCAATGATATCGGGGGAAGAAAAAAAATGTCGCAACATCAAAATCAAATAAAATCGAGATATTAAAGTTTATCTATGGTTGCATGTCTCACTTCTTTATCGACATTGTGCTAATATTGCGACTATGAATGACTCTAAAAGAAAGATAGAAAAAGAGAGAGAGAAAGATCACCTTTATCTTTTTGAAGTTTGTTACACCAATTTGACGTCACACATACATTGATTATTGCTTTAACAAAGCAATCTGTCCTCGCTATTTGTATTGTCTACCTTTATCCATCACGGGAATCTTTTAAAAATTCAAGGCATGCGCATTGATATGGAATAGTAGGTGCATATTTTAATAAAGTGTACAATCGCAATGTCAAACAAGCCGAATAACATAACGCTATCCTGCATAAATAAATAAAAAAAACTTAAAGTTGTTCACACCAGAATTAGAGGATTACCAGACTGTGTGTGTGTGTGTGCGTGTGATAGGATCCTATGTAATTTGGTGTCAGTGTCACTTTTATGCTTTGCTTATTTTCCATTCAAGGAAAAACCAAAACATTCCTAGACATTAAAGACACTATTAAAGAGCAACAAGGTTCTAAAAGAAGGTTCTCGACAACTACCTCTTTTGTTTTGCCCTCCTTTTTGTCAAGGGTTTCTTTTCGTGTGTGGCTTGAATAAAAAAGTTAGGAGTTAATAATGTACGCTAATGATGAATTTTGAATAAATAAATAAATAGAAGACGCGTAAAATATAGCGTGCCTTTTATGCTTTAGGTCCGTCTTTTCTTACCTCTCATCAAAAGCATAATTTGACATATACATGTACTAAATAACAAGTAATGTATTTTAGTAAAAAAAAAAAAGAAAAGAATCTAGCGTTCAATTAAAAAGAGTACTAGTATTAATATGAATGCATTTGTAGCCAATTGTCAACACTCTAAATATTCTAAACTCCTTTATTTCTTTCTTTACTGATGCTCCTTGCTTTCTTTCTCTCTCTCTCTCTCTCCTGTGAGAATGATTTGTGCTTTGTCTCTTTGTTAATACTTTAATGAGCTTGCTTTTTCTCTGCACATATTGTCGTCTAATACGATTGCTGGGCGCTTGCGAGATGAATGGTAGACGAGATAAAGCCTATCGATGGTTGCTTGGACAGTTTGTGAATCCTATTAATGATGATGATGTTTCCTCCTTTTCTGGGGTAGGGGTTCTCCTGGAACTATTAGTCTAGCACTGTTCAGCCTATATTTTCAAGATTTCTCAGGTTCACAGGTTTAGTCTTGATACATCATTGTATCAATGTAAACTATTCTGATGTACTCTTATTTTCCCTATGATTGATCCCATTAACCAAGAATACATAGTGAGTATACAGTATATATATATATATAAAAGCAACACATCAACAGTGTCTTTCCACATGAGGATTGCCGCATACACGCTCGGCAAAATAGTTCTGTTTATCCTTTTCAGATAAAGACAAGAGTATGTTAAAAATTACTTTATTATTAATGCCAAAAATACAAATATGTATGCACGAATGAGTTTATATAATGATACTAGTTTAGGGAGCAATCAACACACGGACAGTGTTTGTGTTGCCGAGACCACCCTTCCATCCTTGAACGATGACGACTGGGTCATTTGACTTGATAAGACCAGCTTTCTTGCCTTGTTGAATACCCCACTTGATACGAGATTCGACATCTTCGTCCCACTTGGCAGCAACAGGGTCGGTGTAGATGAAAGGGAACACACCACGGTGAAGGTGTGATTGACGAGCAGTCTGTGTCTCACGGGTGACGAGGATAATGGGTTGAGCAGGTCTGTACTTGGAAGCGAGACGAGCAGAGTGACCGGACTTGGAGAGGACCAAGATGGCACCCGCGTTTTGTTCGGCAGCAGCAGAGACAGCAGCACAAGCAACAGTCTCAGTGGTGTCAGTGGGCCAAGGGGTCAAGCCGCGAAGTTGGTTAAACAGAGGACTGTAACAGATGACGGATTCGGCTAATTGACAAGTTGTGGCCATTGTCTTGACGGCTTCAACGGGGTAAGAGCCCTTGGCAGTTTCACCAGAAAGCATGACGAGATCAGCACCGTCTAAGACGGCGTTGGCAACATCAGATACTTCAGCACGTGTAGGGCGAGGGTTGTAGGTCATGGATTCCAACATTTGAGTGGCACAAGCAGCGGGCTTACCAACCAAATTACACTTGGCGATCATCATCTTTTGAGCAACAAAGACACGTTCACAAGGGATTTCGATACCCATGTCGCCACGAGCAATCATCACACCGTCAGTCTCGGCAAGGATCTCGTCAAAGTTCATGATACCTTGGTGGTTTTCGATCTTGGAGATAATCTTGATGTTCTTACCCTTTTCGCCAAGGACACGACGGATGTCCTTGACATCTTGGGCACGACGAATGAAAGAGGCAAAGATCATATCAACACCATTTTCAACACCGAAGCGAAGATCGTTCTTGTCCTTTTCAGAAAGAGCAGGAAGGTCGACGGCCGTCTTGGGAAGGTTGACACCTTTCTTGGAGCAGAGCTTACCGTTGTTCTGTGCTTGGACACGAACATAATTGTCACCCTTGGCAATGACCTTGAAGGAGAGGACACCATCATCGACGTAGATGTACTTGCCGACGTCAATCACATTAGGCAAGTTCTTGTAATCAACGTACATATTTTCGCCATCACAAGCAGTAGCGTACTTTTCATCAGTAGTAATGTTCATTTCGTGGCCCTTGGTAATAGGTACTTCGACGTCGTTGGCCATCAAACCAGTACGGATTTCAGGACCCTTGGTATCAAGAGCAATAGCAATGACCTTATCAGGGCGTGCTTTGCCATACAAAGTTAAACTCTATTTCACTTATGCGCGTATGTTATGAACTTACCAGCAGCAGCAGCACGGGCGTTGTCAAGAACAGACTTGTGATAATCATAGTCACCATGAGAGAAGTTCATACGGACAATGTTCATACCGGCATCGATCAATTCGACCAACTTGTCAACATTGTTTGTTTTAGGACCGATCGTACAGATGATGGATGTCTTACGAGCAGCTTTAGGTTGGACATCAACATCCATGTTGGCGACCCATTGCATAGGGAATTGATTAGCGTTGTTGACTTGTCTATCAGTAAACATTTTATTCGGGAAAAGGGAAAAGTTGGGTTAAAAAAGAAAAAGCCAAAAAATTTATGTAATAGTTTCGCACAGCTTTTATATCTGTGGGGGTTTAATATCAAATCATTTTTAATCTCCAACGCTTTCTAATCGCGTCTAGGGCTTATTTATCTCATTTTACGTATTACAACAAGGTATGAAATGTTGGGTAAGGAAGCAAAAAGTCTTTATGATTCTTTTATTATCTTCAGACCAAGTGAATAAATACATATATCTCATTTATGATTTAAAGCATTAAAGAGGTCATCAATACATAATATGTAACTTGATAGTTGAACATCTGATATTGATCGCTTATCCGATTATACAATCGATTAAGAAAATTTAATACTCCGATGACTCTCTGTCTCGCTTCCCTTTTTTTTGCACATTAATAAATTACAAAATATAGCCTTAATTATTGATCATAAATATACTTGATTCGATCATGATGTAATTCTGTATGAAATATTGTATATTTTGTCATGAGAGACTATTTTTAAACGTGATCTGCTTTCCATACACGCATACACACAAATATATTTACTGTCACTTCACTGATACAAAAAAAAAGCTATTGTCCGACAATACCGGACGCCGGACATGGCCGGAACTGGAATCCATTCTAGAAACAAAAGAGTATCTCAGCACAAACTGTCAACCCCCCTCTTTCATTATACATCAACAATGGTTGCTGCCAAGTCTGGAATCGCTGCCGGTATCAACAAGGGTCACATCACTACCCGTCGTGAACTCAAGGCCAAGCCCTCTAACAAGATTGGTGTATGTATGGATGGATGAAGAGAGAATGGATATTGAAAGAACAGAAAGCATATGGAATATAAGCATTGGAAATATATAAATTCAATCGACATGGATTAGCGAAAATCTCTAGTATAAATGAACCATTAGCATACACACAAACACACATTCGCGCACACACAGAGAGACAAGCTCTCAAACAAGCGTAAATTCATACATCTACGCACAAGCACACTCTATTTCTAGATTGTCATATATTTCAACAATGCTTCCATCTCTGTTTTTTTCAATATCCATAATCTCTCTGTAGTATAGAATATTGATCACTCACATTAAATTAGGCCGCCTCCAAGCGTACCACTTTTGTCAAGTCCATTGTCCGTGAAGTCACTGGTTATGCTCCCTATGAGCGTCGTCTCATGGAATTGATCAAGAACTCCAAGGACAAGCGTGCCAAGAAGCTTTGCAAGGCTAGAGTAAGTTGAAAGGAGAAAGCTGCTTTGGACATAAACTAATGTCTTTATTATTAGCTCGGTACTTTTGTTCGTGCCAAGAAGAAGATTGAAGAACTTACAGCTGTTATTGCTGCTTCTCGTCGTCACTAAGCTTTTTGTTTTAATTGAAAATAAACAAAGACGACTCCCTCTTTTTTGAGACATATGCTTTTGTCCGTGTGTGTATGCTTTTTTTTTAGAGAAGAGTGAAATCTATATTGGGAAATCGTGACCGTGCTACCATGATATTTCCCTAATTGTGCTTCTTTTAATACCTTTTCTTTTCTTAAACATAAACATATAAATATAAGAGATGAGTGCTATTTCAGCTGCTGAAAGACAAAAATATGCAGAAATATTTCAAGCAAGAGGCCAAGTCAATGGCTACATGTCTGGTATAATTAAACACATAATTAGCTGTTGAATATTTCAATAACTTGCACAATTAGGTGCAATTGCTAGAGATGTCTTGTTAAATTCTAACTTGCCTCCTAATCGTCTTGAGCGTATTTGGTAAATAAAACAAAACACTACAAGATGTAACTTCTCTTCCAACCTTTCTCTTCTTCTTTATGATAGGGACCTTTCAGACATTGACAAAGACGGCAATCTCGACTTTGAAGAATTTTGTATTGCTATGCACTTGACATTCGATTGCATCAATGGTGTTGAACCGCCCATCTCTCTTCCACCTAGCCTCGTTCCCTCTACCAAAGCGCATCTCTTACCTTCATCATATGGTAGCTACCAGCAACCTCAATCTACTGGATACTATCAACAGCCACAACCAACAGGATATTATCAGCAACCTCAAGCAACAGGTTATCCTAGTGGATATCAGCAACCACAGCCTACAGGGTATCAACAACCACAGCCCACGGGATACCAGCAACCACAGCCTACGGGATACCAGCAACCACAGCCTACGGGATACCAGCAAGCTCAACCGACCGGGTATTATCAGCAATCTTATCAAGAGCCTGAGTTTGTGTGGGATATGACGCCTGATGAGATGACATCGTATCAAAATATCTATGCCAAATATGCAAATGAGACAGGAAAAGTCAAGTGTAAGTTTGTTTTGATGATAATAGCCATCGGAACTTATCAGTCCTCACATGTAGTTGCTCAAATGAATGATTTTTATGACACCTTGGGTCTTCCTCGTACGGATCTGACAAATGCATGGTAGGAAAAAGAGAGAAGAACCCCATAAACACTATACTCAACGTTCATTTAGGACATTGATTGATGTCAACCATGCCAACGCACTTACTCAAGACCAATGTCTCATGTTTTACCACGTTCTTAACCAGCGCACCAAGGGTGCTCGTATTCCCAAAGAATTACCTCCTGATCTCCATGCTGCATTCGCTGGAGAATATGCAGCTGATTTTGGTCAACGTCCTGGATCGGGCACAGGTGCTCGTAAGGGCAACAGTACGCCCATGTCAAGCAGCGCCAAACTGGCAGATAACTATGTGAGTCGCTTAGGAGCAGCCAGTACATCTCTAAGTTCAAAGAGCACATTATCAGGCAGCAAATACGACGAGGAAGAGATGCTGAAACGTGAATTAGCAGAACTCAAGGAGCGTGTTAGAGAGGCAGAGCAAAGAGCAGCCCAGGCTAAAGAAAGTGAACACTACGAATCCTTTGCTTCCCGCCCTCTTCGTGATCAATTTCAAGCACTTTATGATTACAAGCTTCGTCAGCTCACGGATCAGTCCGATATTGAAGACAAGGTGCGCAAACAGGAAAGAGATATCGAGGCTGCTCGTGATGCAGTACGTCGTCTCAACAGGATCGTGGACGATGTGCGTGCAAAGAAGCGTGAATTAGAAGCATTGCTAGAAGAAAGAAGACTAGAAGTTCAAAGAGTGTTGCGTGCATCTGAATAAAAGAAAAACTTGCTAATTTACTTTTTATTACTATTATTATTGTTGTATCATAATGAAGATGCATTTTCAGGTGAAGGAGGACGTACACTCGGTGAAGAAAGAAGGTCATGTACAGAATACTGAGTAACTGGATGTAAGATATCGGATATTGCAAAGCTTTGGTCAGGGTCGATGCTATGTAAGGTCATCAGTGGTTCCTCTTGTTGCTGTTGCATTTGTTCTTGTTGATATGGATGTGTTGCTGCTGTTGTATCTACATGCCTACTTGAACTGCGAATGAGCCCCTTTATTATTTTCAATGTAATCAAGTGCTTACCTTTCTTCTTCTTCATCACTACTTAGCGTTAGATCAATAACATCCTGTCGTATCCTTTTCGCTGTATTTTGTTGCTGTGGTGGAGGCTCTGTATCAATTTCCCCATTCAGTCGTGGACGCTTATTTGAATTATCATGATTATTAGGAGGTATACTTGTATTGTTATCACTATCATCGTCTAGTAGCTCAACTACTGTTTCTTCTTTCTTTAGATGTTCTATTTCTTGTTCTGAGTCATCCTCTTCGTCCATTGATGGGTGTTCATCAACGATCGTAATGTGCCCATTGGGCTCAACCCGCACGCTGTCGATATGTTTTGGTGTATTTTTCAATATTTCCATGAAATAACCATCCAAAACGAGATCATCACAGTTTTCTATTCGTTTATAACAAACCGGACAAGACCATGTTGGTGTCTGTTCGTTCATGAGCAAAAATGTATTTGCATCAAAGCATTGAAGGTGATTACAGTGAGTTGATCGAATGGGCGTAACGATACGCGTGAACGCAAGCTAATTGCTATAAGTACACACATATAATCAACAAGATATAGAGCGCCTACCGGACATTTCATCGAAAGTGTCTGTGATTCCATAACAACGTCATCCTCTTCTTGTTTATCTTGTACTTGTAATAAAATATTAGTGTGAGATAATGATCATCTTTTTTGATCTTACTGTCTTTTAATACTCTTTCTTTTGGTATCTCTCTTTGTTTCATCCCTTCTAGTAAAGTTGATATAGGTGTTCTTTTTACCATATATATGCCCGCAATATACATTGATTCCGAATTTATATAAACCAATTCTACATTATTCAAGGCATGTTTCTTTATCATGACTGTCAAATCTGGCGGATTCACTGTCCCTGGTCTGTTTCTCAATCCTCTTAATGTCTACAAAAAGATGCACAAAATCAATTTTCTGTGACGTTCGCGTAACCCAGTACTTCAATCTATATCACCTACACTTCCTCCAATAATACTTCCGTTGATTCGAAGCTCACAGATGCTTGGAAACTCTACTAGCAATTCTTTACTGAATGATTCCGCAGAAAGATCACCGGCTTTTGCGCAAAAGAAGCGTATTTGATATTGCGGTCGGTCGTCTGCTTCATGAGTTAGAGCAAGTAGGTCGCGTTGCTCGGGAGTTAACATAAATTGAAATAGCTTGGCCTTACGTTCTTGAGAAGCTATACAACAGGGGAAGGGATAATATCATGCAACGTTTAATATATATGGCTTTATAATACCTTTTCCATATTTACCTGGTGCTAGCTTCAGTGTCGTCAATTTCATCATGGGTTCAAAAAATACGCTACACTTGAACCTAACTTGGTCGTTATCTTCAAATACTGGAATTGCAGGTGCTGAAATGGATGTAGGACGATAAATGGTTCGATGCTCTAATCTATGATGATTCAACATGATTGTGTCATTGATAAAACTCCATGATACTCTGTGCATATGTCAATTAGTAAACATATCGAGAAACTCTTTTTTTCTTGCCTACTTTCTAGAGGCGTTGGCATTGACAATATCTACAACAGCGGCTAATGCGTTCTTTTTATTGCCTGCTATCAAATTAACAATGTAATGTGCTAATCTAGCCACTACTTCGTCTTTTCTTCCGCTCAAAATAAGTTTAGCTTGTCCATGTGTAGTAGCATTTATAGATCGCATGCAATCTGTCAACTCTTTCACTGTGGCATTTCGAAGATCGTTCTTGATTAACCTATACTATACGATAATAAGCAAAATAAAACATAGCAGCAGAAAGCGGTTAGATAGCCAACCTGCTCATCAGTATCCATTGTGAGCTGGAAAAAAAAAGATACAGAAACAAGTGATATAGAAAAAAAACTAAGCTTATTTTCAGTTATCTGTTTTTGCCATTACACCCATTGCACAGCCCAATCGCACAGTCGGTGGATGCGGAGTTTTTTGTTCAATCTGATCCGCCAATCAGGTTAAAATGAGAAAATGGGCCGCTGGTTACCATAGACAGCCAATGAATCAAAGAATTCAATTGATTCGTTTCGCTTGCAACAGCAGCAAAGGTTTGACAAATAAGAAATACAATAATAAAAAAGGCACACTCTGCTACCTGAAGCCCGCTACTCCCGCCGCTGAGAATAATTTATGGCAAGTCATTTTGCTGCATAATGTGGTAATAGAAGCTATTTTTACTCAAGAGAGAGAAAGAAAAACTAACAAACCAAACTAAACTGTTGAAAAATATGAAATTCATTTTTCTCCGCTCTTCTTTTTCATTGTTAACCTCTTTATACTTTTACAACTTTACCTAATTCAATGAACTCCATTACGGACAATGAGATTGCAGAAAGGATAATAACTGCCAGAAAAGACGCAGAATCGCTCAAAGAACGAATTCGACAAAAGAGAGACCACCTGTCTGATACGACATGTAAAGACTATTTTTTGTTTTACTGCATACACTGACTGCATTCCTTTACAAAGTGATCCAGGTTGCACAAAAAGTACAAAGTTTGCCACCCTTGGCAATGAAGGCACGGCGGATATTAAAGGGCCATTTGGCCAAAGTCTATGCCTTACAATGGGGATCAAACAAACAGAACGTTGTATCTGCTTCACAGGACGGCAAACTACTGATATGGAATGCATACTCTACGCACAAACTCTGCTCCGTTCCTCTAAAGTCCTCATGGGTCATGACATGTGCTTACTCGCCCAGTGGGAATTTTGTTGCTTCGGGAGGATTGGACAATACGTGTTCCATTCACAATCTGGAATCACCAACAAAACCTATCAGAGAGTTGTCAGGACATACGGGATACTTAAGCTGTTGTCGATTTTTGAGCGATCATCAAATATTGACATCAAGCGGTGATACCAGCTGTATATTATGGGATATTGATCTTGGCAGCAAGCTACACGAATTCAATGATCACACAGGTGATGTCATGAGGTAAAAAAAATGTACAAAAAAAAAAATGTGCAGAATATTAATGAATATGTTGACAGCCTCGCCATATCACCCGACAATCCAACCATTTTTGTTTCAGGCGCCTGTGATGCTACTGCGAAAATATGGGATCTACGAACCCAAAAATGCGTTCAATCCTTTAGCGGGCATGAGTCTGATATCAATGCGGTCCGATTCTTTCCTAGTGGTAGTGCTATAGGCACAGGATCTGACGATGCTAGCTGTCGTCTATTTGATCTTCGAGCGGATAGAGAACTAAATATATTTACGCATGAGCAAGTGTTTAGCGGAGTGACATCTGTCGCTTTCTCCATTTCAGGTAGAGTGCTCTTTGGGGGCTATGATGATTACCATTGTTATGCATGGGATATTCTAAAAGGTGAACGTGTGAGTGCACTTGATGCACACAATAATCGGGTGTCTTGCTTAGATATTGCGCCCGATGGTATGTCTCTCTGCACAGGCAGCTGGGATAATTTATTAAAAGTATGGGCTTAGTTATTTATTTGAATATAACTAGAAGACTAATGAATAAAAAATAATGCATTAATTCGCTTTATACTTACCGAGACATGAAGGAATGCACTGCCGTTATGGATAGCGCTTTAAATCCAAGAGCACCGTTAATCTTTTGCGGGTCCTCTGAAGGGGGGAGAACTTTCATTATCATACCATATATATTTAATGCACGATTCCACGCCGTACCACAACGTTCACACTTAAGAACAGAATATACTCTTCGCTTTGATCAAGCAATGGAAATATTATTCAATTGATTGGTTTTACACTTGTTACATATCTGACTTGTTAAATGCTCGTTGACATAAACAAATTCGGTCCCTCAGTTAGACTGTTTTGGTTTTTAGCGCCAACTGTACTTGATGTGCCATATTTCTTGCTGTTGTCGAATAACCTTTAACAGCTTCTTGAGTTCCTTTTGCTTGTCGATATACGCCTTGAACTTTAACTTTTGAGACATATTCCATACATAGTTTTGTTAAATTTCCCACCATGTTAGATAACAACATACCAATTATCTTGACAGTAGTAGTTATGGATTCTTTGATAGTCTTGCAGACGTGTAGGAGCAGCTAGTAAGAATGAGTCCAACCTTGCAATTTTTAAATAGATAATTCGCTAATGCACTTAAATTCTTCAGGTTCAAGTAAAGAAAAAAGAAAAAAAGGAAAGTAGCTGCAGTTAGCCCTGCCATGTTAAATTAATGATCGACAACTTGTTTTTAATAGTAAAATTCTTCTCGAACGAAAAACTACTTTACTTTAGATATACTGTATGCTTTACTGTGATTCTCAATGTATTTTTCTTTATAAAACTGATAGATAAGAATACCAAAATGGCACAAGATGACCATGGATCATCATTATAATATTCAGGAATAGTGGTCGAAGAAGTAAGGGCAAGCAGGAAAAGGAGAAACGCAAACTTTAATGTCAGCCGTGCGTTCCATGAAGAACAAGAAGTATGTAGTGAGTTGGCATATATGCAGCATGTATCTGGCTCAAAGCAAGAACAATGTCACGGAAGCTTCTCTCACTATACTCAATAGGAGTAACCACGGCAAATTCTTCCATAGCTGGCAAGCTGTAAGTGCATCTATCGTCTCCTTCAATTAGCCTCATTCTCATGGGAGACCAGCAATACTGTAGGGTGAGCCTCTTTCAGCAGAGTCATCACTATTAAATATATCCTCACTGTTGGGGTTAGAGCTCTCATAGCTGCTCAATATCTCATGCGTATGACGGTAAAGACATAGGAAGGGTTTGCATCGAGCAAGTACGGTTGAAAGGTTTCTTATAATATCCTAATCCAGATTTTTATTCCTTTCTGGTCATCTCTGAGTAGTATATGAATGATCATAGATGTACAACTGAGCATACGAAGGTGCGTTGCTCTCAACTGGAAGCAAAGGCCCTTGGCGGTGACAAAGGGCACTGTGGAATATGGAATGCATCTAGTTCATCTCTGCTGTTGTTGTTACTGGTGTGATCAATCAAGCTAGGATAGTCTTAATTTGGCTGGTGAAACGCCTGTTGATTATTTTGACTAACTGGGTCTAGCCTACAGAGACGCAAGTGGCCAGTTTCGTTACATAATGAACAATAAACAATACTTGATCTACTCATTATTTAAGTAATTGAATCAACTTTACAATGGCGTTATGATAGCGATTGAAGAAAAACAATAAGCTTTTTCATACTAATAATAAAATTGACAAAACTGCTGTAGGGAAAGAAGAAACATGTAATAAGGGAACGCTAGCATTTTATGCGTCTGTTTTTTACGATTTGTACGATTTTAATATGATGGTTTTCATTTTAATAAAATGTGTGCTATGTATTTTACGTTTATATATATATAGAAGCGCAATAAAAGAGGAAAAACAACCGGCCAGCGTATGTGTGTGTGTGTGTGTGTGTATATATGTGTGTATGTGTATTTATATGTATTTGTGTCGTTTTATAATGTCTTTGGCATTTCAAGAACATGTTCGGGTGCAACCTGCTTTACTTCATCATTATCATCTTCAAACTGTACTTTATAATTCCTTATATCCTTATTCTATTATATTGGTTGTTATACGTTTGTCCACTTATAATCACAAACATTCTTACTTTGCTCGGAGGTGAGATCACTACGGCTCGGTAAAAGCAAGTTGTACTAGGATACAAAGCCAAGACCTCTTGATGGGCAGGTATTTCAGGTGCCATTTCAGCCTCTTTTGGCGTAGGAACAGGAATGACATACTTGGGAGAGAGCATATAGTGTCTAGATTGATATAATTAATAACCTATTTTTACTACAAGAACTATAAGTATAAATATAGTTTACTGTTTGCCACCATATTCATCTTGATCGACATCTTCCACTTGATACTTATTTCTGTCAGGATAATATTGTATGACCACAGCCAGGATCCATTCATCATTTTTATCTGGTTGTTTAGCAGCAACCTAGAGAAGTAAATTGTTGTTATAGTAACCATAATAAACTAGTAATTAAGGATTGTTTTACAGTTGTTCCTTTTGTGAAAATAGCATGTGCACTTCCATTAAATCTATAAATAAAAAGATAAGTTGATATAAAAGGCAATCCATATCGAAGTGTATTACCTGGAATCTGCACCTTCTGTCTTTCGTTTTTTTCTTTTTTGATCTGATTAAGAAAAGAGAAATGAGATTAAATTGTTACTTTTGTGTAATGAGGGAAGGTCAAGAAGTGTAGTGATAATAAACCTTGTTCACTTGTATCTTTTAATGCAATCAAGACTGTTAACTTTTCAATGATATCCCGGACTAACCTTGTAAAGTGTTAAATGCTTGCATGTATTAATATTCAATCCACAACTTACTTTGATTCATGATTGGACAGTTCAATACCTCGCTTATAACTTTCTTTTAACTTTTGATGAATAGTACTAGAAATTCCTTTTATACAACAATTAAAAACAAGTGGCAAAATATCTTGATAAAGTGATACCTTTTTCAAGCGAATAATGGAATTTATTTATAGTATTTATAACAACTTCTTCATCCTTTTGAAGCCCTTCCAATTTTGCTAAAGAGTAGCATATCTGTTTCCACAAGTTAACCTCTTCATTCATGTCTTCATGTAAACGAGATGAACGTGATTTACGGTCCATGGTTGAAAAGAAGAGTAAATTTTTCAATTCAAATTCCGACTAGTGTACCAGAAAAAAAAAGAGTTTATTGTTTAAGCAAATTAGGAAAATCATTGGTACAGCAGACTGTACAAGTTTTTCCCGATCACACACAAGTCCTTTTCTCTCTCATTTCACTCCCCCCACTGTCTCTCCTTTAAGGTTGATATGGTAACACATCGTTTAACTCCCCCAATCTCCTTTTTATGTAACCATACTCCTATTATTAGTAAACAGCTTGTTCTCCGCACAATGAACGTGTTTATTTAAACAGGGCAATCCGCTTCACTCTTTCTTTTCTTTCCATCCCTTTTTTCTTTTTCTTTCCTTTCTCTCTCTTTCTTTTTTTTTTGTTATGAAATTATCACTTGCTATTATATCCAGTGCATTATTAGTAGCAGTGCATGCTGCCAACATTCAATTTAATGTCATTGCTCCTAGCGCAACTGATGTAAAAGTATCAGTTAATGGACAACAAGTTGCCTTGAAAGCATCTAATCCAAGCGTACCTTATTTCACTGGTACTGCTGAAACAGGGTCAGCTACTACTTACAAGGTACACACACATATAATATGATAATGACGTTAGATTGACACATTGTTATTATTATAGTACGTCGTAGGTGGAACAGAAGAAAATTTTGATCGTTCATTGAAGGGAATTACCAACTCAACATATAATGATTTTATCAATCGTCCTGTCACCTACGCAAATCTTCCTCAATTACCTTGGCCAATTGAAAACAATGTAAGCTAAATTTAGCTTTTTTTTTTTTTTCTCAGCTGATTTTCTCATTTCGGTAGCCTCAATGGACTCGTAAAGGACCAAAGCCCGAAATTTTCGATGACAATTATATTCCCACCGTATTCTTCCAAGGTGATGATACTCAAGTAACCAATTTGGTCAAGAATGTTCCTGCTGACAGAGTATCGGGTACCTTGACCTTCATTGGCTCCAACTACGTTCACACTTTCCAAAACGTATCATTTGGTATTCACGGTGCTGGCAAGAAGCACAACAATGCCAAACAATCATGGAACTGGCGATTGTCTGGATCAGACTCTATGGGCAATCGTAACTTCTTCAAGCTTCGTCATATGGAAGAAGACCCCACTCAACTCCGTGAGCGTCTTTACGCTGATGTCTTGCATGCCATGGGTACCTATGCCAATGAAGCAACCATGGTTCGTTTGTTCATCAACGGACAAGGCTTTGGTACTTTCAACATGTTGGATGATATCACCGACTTTTCCTTCATCAATGCCATGTTCTACGCTGGTAAGCCTCCAGCCACTCTCGGACCTTTGTTTGATGGTGCCTCTGGTGCTGATTTCCAATACCATCCTGGCAATCTCGATGGTTATGCCTCTTGGGTTGCCAACAAGAACAACCCCAACGGTGAAGCCTACGAAGCACTTGACCCTCTCTGCAAGGCCTGGAACGAGACCAACTATGCAGACAACAATGCCATTGCCAATTTTGAAAAGATGTTTGATGTCGACCATTTCCTTCGCTTTATGGTCATGGAATACTTGGCCGGTCACTGGGATGGCTACTGGATGGGTCAAACCAACGACGGTGCTTACCGTGATCCTACCGATAACAACAAGTGGTACTTTATCGACCAAGACTTTGATGGCACCTTTGGTGTCAATTTGGCTGTTCCCGAAGGCAACAACTTCATCTCTGTCTCATACAAAGAATTCCCCAACCGTTACCCTGCCGCTGTTATGATCAACGGCCTCTTGAAGAACCCTGATAAACAAGCTCTCTTTGAGAAGTACTTGAAGGATACCGTCAGTGTCTTGTTCAACAATGTTACCTTGACCAACCGTGTCTTGGCTCTTCACGATTTCCTCTTACCTGATCTCCAATGGGATCGTTCGATCGTCCAACAATCTCCCGGTATCAACTTTGGCTGGACTTTTGACCAAGTAACTCAAAACTTATGGCAAGGTGTCTCTGCTCCCAATGCTAATGGAGGTGGTGCTGCCTGGGGTTTGGTTGAGTGGATCGCTGCTCGATCTCAAGCCATGGCCAAGGAATTTAATATCTCCATCACATCAACACCTGTTGGTCCTCCTACCAACTCTTCTACTACCCACCCAGCCACTAGCAATAACAACAACACTACTTCAAGCAGTAAGCCTATTTCTAGCAGCAACTCGTCTACTACCAACAAGGATGCCTCTGCTCAAAGTGCCTCAAGTGCTACTCGTCCCGCTGTGTCTGTCGCTTTCGTTGCTATCTCCGCCTTGGCTGCAGCTGTTGTATTCTAAATTTACTCTAATAATAATTTGAAAACTTTTTTTTGCTCTTTTGAAAATATATCAACTACCTCACGCGATCTCGCACATATCTCACGCACAATCACACTACCTCACGCTTACTACTTTATATATCCTTGATTCTATTTTTATAAAAATAATGTGTAATAATAGTAAACAATCTATTTTTTTGTTGTTGTTCTTTTATTCTCAGGGCGGTGTGTCAATCTCTTAATTATCCTATCAGGTTTGCAACACAGTTAGAATCATTGGCTGCGTTACAGATGTAAGAACTATTCTATACAAAGGGAACAGTTTAACTTTTATCTCTCTCTCTATTTTCATATTTATGTGTAAAAACACTAGTACAAGATCGATCTCAGTTACTGCATTGTCTCCTCTCTTTTTTCTACAGCAAAAAAAAAAAAAACAGGTTAACGAAACGGAACTAGAAAGAAGTGATCTATTTCTTAAAGAGGAATAGCTGCATCAAAATTATTTGCTATCATTGGTCCTCTAAAAAAGTAACCCTGTTTCCCATGAAACAGAGAGATGATCGACACGCGCCCGTCCGCGCACATTTTTCCCTCTCTGTCTCTCCCAAAATGGATCATTTTGTCAATAACAACTTTGCAGAAAAGATAGAATGTTACTCAATGGCACGAGATTGTTGAACTAAAAATTACACAAAATATATGTATTCATAATTGTTAAAAAAAGGGTTTCTGCTGTTGTTGTTGTTGTTGCTTTACTTGAGAAGCAGAAGGAGGAGGAGGCAATAAAGGAACGATACCATCATTGTTATTTGTGGCAGAACGAGGCTTTGATCTTTTGACGCCTAGATTACCAATGGTAATATTGATCGTCTGACCTTCCTTTAGTCCGTAATCCTTTTTGGGCGTTGTATCCACTGTTCGTTCAGCCGCTTCTTTTTCAGCCCTTAATTGCCTAATAGAAAATAGAATAAATGTTGATTTCAGAAAAGACATCATACACTTACTTTACAAAATCTTGTAACGTCACGTTGAAATCAAAGGCATCTGATCTTTCTTGGAAACCCATGCCGATAAAGGCATGTCGACCTATTTTTATACATATTAGCCTTTCCTCCCCTTTTTGTTTCTCCCCTTTTTAATAAAAACCTTCATTTTCAATCTTGAGAACAAAGTAACGACTAGAGTCTAATACAGCTTCAACAGAATTTGAATGGATCTCATAGGGACACATGGCAAATAGTTCACCTTTAATAAATAATTAAAGTAGCTGTTCCCTTTTTTCTCTGGTTTATAAGTCATTACCACTACTGCTGTCTTCTAACCTAATCTCACACCTTCTACCTTTACTCACAACTCTCAATCGACCCTTCCATAAAAATGACGTAGCCAAATCTCCCCATTCAGCAGCTCTAAATTGGATATCAGTATCCCCCCTTTTTCTTTTTTCCCTTTTTTTTTTGTTTTCTTATTACCTATATCCTCTTGCTGCTGTTCTTGGAGGAATCTTGTAAACTAACCATGGGACTCATTTAACATTTTCTCTTTCTTTCTCTTTTTTTTTGGTTAAAATATTTTTCTACTTGTTACCAAAACATTCACGAATGATCAACAAGACACTTTCATATTCTTCCTCCATTTTATATAATTGTGACAGAGTAAATAAAGAGAGAGAAAAAATAAAAATAATAGGAGTTTTAATCAAATAATTCTTTATATGACATCTCTTTCTTTTGAGACTGATATCGAGTCAGGACAATACTCGTCTGACAGTACTCTTGGGTGATCTTTCCATAGTATCCACCTTTTCTCAAGAGAGAATGAATAGCTTCTTCCTTTGTCCACTTTTGTTCGACCATGACTTCAGGTAGATAAGTGGCTGTATCCTTTTCTCCATTGACTTGAGTAAATTCTATCCAGATACCATGAACACCAATCTCCCAGTCAAGATAATCCTTGGCCTTTTCAAAATTGATCAGTAAAGAGACAGCACAGGAAAGTCTAGGGAATTCTGCTAATCTAATGGGAGGGAATCTAGAGTCTTTTAAGGCACTAGGAAAATGTCAGTTTATTTTATGATGTGTATATATGTCACTGACTTACCTTATCAATGCATATTTTAAAAGTCCATTGTGCAACTTTTGAGCATTAAAGTTGCCAATGCAACCTCTAAGCTTCTGTTCTCCGTGAGATTGAATATGCCAAGTGACAAACAATGGGCTAAAAAATATATAAGAATGATAAACTATTAAAGTAAATGATCCTTACTATGCGTCATCTGGGAAATCGGGTTTTGGATAGGGCTTTTCTTTCAAATGAGCCATCAAGGCTTCAAAGCAAAACCTGACATGCTTCTCACTGACAACAAAATCACTTGACATTCGTTTATAAAAATTAAAAATAGAAAGAAAAAAAGAAAAAACGAGAAAAAAAAGCCCTGAAAAATAAAATAAACCTATGGCAGTTGGATGTTTTCAAGTCTTTTTGTTTGTAACTGGATAAATTTATTCAAACGCCGCTGCGTAGTTATTGTCTTGATATGCACGAATAACAATAAGGATTGCAACACCTATTCCCAATCACTGTCATCATCATCATTGTTGTTGTTATCATCATTCTTTGACTTGGTGTCTTCCTTCTTTTGTGTCTCGGCCTTGACCCATTCATCTTCTGTTGACTGCAGCTGTGGTGTGGACGAAGGGTTGGATATTTGACTGAAATCTGTATCTTCTGAACTTCTCTTGACGTTATCCTTGACTGTCATCTCTTCATCATCTGAATCCCATTTGAAATCATTTTCATCCTCTTCTTTCACGCTTTGAACAATTAACTGACGCTTTTGTTCATCTTGATCAATCTTCCATGCTTGATAAAAGTAACGTTGCCAAAAGAGTGGGTAGCTGACCTGCATAGGAACTATACAAAGATAAATATGTATGTTTAAAAAGAGAAGAGGTATACCTAATGTATTCATCATGTCCCTTAACTCAGGATTATCATTCAATAATTGTGCAATCTCTTCAGTGTACTCATCAATCTTGAATGTATCATTAAATGTCTTTAATACTTTAGTCTCCTCTTCACTCTCTGGATCCTTTAAATAGGTATCTGGGTTGGTTTGCATCTTGGCTATTAACGTTTCTTTACGGGTTGCACTATAATAATATAAGTTCTCTCCATCTGTCTATGTCTATTATATAAATATTACTATATACGACGACTGGCTTGCTGTTGTTGTTGTTGTTGTTCTTCTTCTTCAGGCCCTATCACAGTAACCGTATTCTTCAAAGCGGAAATAACCTCAGTTCCAAATGTCTGAAGATAATGCTCGGCGGATCGTGTACCTCTGGCAAGTCCTTCTTTGAGTTGCTTTAGATCCATATTCTCCGGTAAATGTACTGATTGAACCTGACTCGGTAACCGTTGCTCCAATGCCTTCATCAAACCGTCCTTCAGACTGGTGAAATTAACCGTGTTGATGCTCGCCAGACTTTCTCGAATAAGTTCCAAACTGTTATCTTCTTGTTCTTCTTCTTCACCATCTTCAGTAAGCACTTGTGCAAATTCTTGCAAGTCTCTCTTGGTTCCCTCAACAAATGCTTCACTCTAGAACGTATTTATATAAACTGGTTCAAAAAAGCCAACAAGAATACCTGTTTCTTAACAGTATCCACCAGACTAGACCATTTTTTACCCCATCCCATGTTATGAAATGCTTTTAAAATCACGTCATTTTCTTCATTATTGTTATTAGAACCTGCTGTGTCTGTAGTAGCAGCAGCAGCATATTGATACATGTCTTCCATTATAGCACGTAATTAAATAAAAAAGAAAAAAAAAGAGAACACATTTGTGACTTTATCAAATGCATTGCATTTATTTCAATTTTCTCTTGCAAAAGATCTTTGAACAGGTGCAAACTTTTGGATATCATTTGTCCATGTCAAGTCCTGTTCTATTTCTTCTTCGTCTTCTGTCTTATTTTTATAAATAATAGCATCGACAGACTTGATGGCAGCCAGTGTCTCTGTCGTATACTCTTCCTTTACAAGTGGTTCAAATTTGACTGCAGGTGCTAAAAAAATATAAGTCTTTGTTCACTTATGCTTTTATAATATACCTTTTTTTGAAAGCTTTCCTCCCTTGATATCTCGATACTCTTCAAAGCTAAATCCACTGTTAAACCTTTTAAGGACACTGATATACTCCTTTCTGTCTTTTGAATCTTTTGTCTGGATATAGTTATCCTTATTTTGATGAAACCGCTTGATCAATCTTTCATCCACTGTATCCTCCAGTCTGGATTTCTTGGTTGATTTATGAGAGATTTCTGGGGATGTAGGATGTCGACGTATACGCGACAAGTTTGATTCTGATCCATCCGAAGCGTGCAAAAGAGGTCTATGCTCTGTCCTGTTCTGCCTTTCTGGAGTCCTCTCTTCCGTATCGTCATCTTGATACACCTCAAACTTTGGGGTTGGGACAACAGGCTGAACTGGGCTAGACTGTAGCAAGGTAGCGCCTGCAAATTTTTCCTTGACTAACTCGTTCTCAATACGTTGAGAGCGACTAAAGAGTGGTATATGGGCTGAATGACGATGTGATGATGATGACGATGATGCTATGGGTTGACTACTACTACTGCTGCTACTATTACTACTATTATCGGTATACACTTGAAACGAACTTGAAGGTTGTTGCTGTTGCTGTTGTTGAATGCTTTGATTACCAAACGAGCTACTTGCTTGTTGCTGTGGTTGAATATTTGAAAAGATGTTTGAAGGCATAGACACTCTCGATCGACTATCAAACTTTTCTCCTAGCATCGTACGTTGTCCTGTTGCTCTTAATGCTTCCATTTGTAATCTTGCTTCCTGTCTGTGTCGCCTTAATATCCCTTGTTCCCGTCTAGCCTCCATTCTTTGTTTAAATATGTCATAGTTCTTTTCTAATCGTCTCAAAGGTGCTGCTGATTGTCGTATACCACGTTTATAAATCTCTTCCACTTCATCATATCTATGAGAAAAAGAATGAGTTATAAATGATAGGAAAGCCCTGGACCATTATGTATGTGTTACTTTTACTTTTGAATTCCCTCAAGATAATTAGCATATTCTTCATAAAACAAGGCTAGTGATTGTCCAATATCCTTCTTTACAAGATAGACATATATATCACGTGGCTCCTTTACGAGGTTGGCATATTCTATCCACAATTTCAGATATCGAGGATCGTTTTTATATCTGACATCATCTACAAATTGAGGTGTCGCGTCTTTAAGCAAGTTAAGTAGTCGCGTGTCGTTATAAGGATACATTTCAGTAGTCCATGTGTAGTATTCAACATAGACATTTAAAGGATCATCCAAGTCATCCATGTTGTCTAGTCTGTTTTTGAATTCGACATGTTTTAATTCCATCACTTTGTCTCGTTCTGTCTCTTCTATAACAAGCGCTGTAGCATGTCGTCCTTGTCGACGAGGCTTGATGTTTTCTTTTGAGCTGTCAATTATAGCAGCTTCAGGAATGGAAGCAATCAATCGTCGTCTATCTTCTTCTGTTAGTTCAGCCATTGTTAATCAAAGAGAAAGAAAAAAAAAGCTAAATTGTGACGCTTTAGACTGCGCCCCGGCCATGTAAAAATTTATGGCACACAAACACAAACAGAGCTTATTATGCATTCTTTCAATAATAAAAAAAAGAGCTTTTTATTTTATTTAGACATCTGTATGCATTCATAGTTAGTTTTCTTTTTCTTTTTTTTTTTTTCTTTAAGCGTCTACATACCATCATCTTGACAAATTCTTCATAATTAATTTGTCCATCACCATCAACATCAGCCTCACGAATCATTTCATCCACTTCTTCTTCAGTCAACTTTTCACCCAAAGATGTCATTACATGGCGTAGTTCTGCTGCAGAAATATAACCATTACCATCCTTATCAAACACCTTGAAGGCCTCCTGAATTTCTTCCTGAGAATCTGTATCTTTCATTTTTCTATACTTGTCTTTAGCAAAGAAAACGCCCTTTTTTTATAGTTTATGTTACCTTGCCAACATGGCTAAAAATTCACTGAAATCAATGTGACCATTTCCATCACTATCGATTTCATTGATCTATCATCTCATCAGCCTTTGTATTCACGAGATGTTTTTTTTTTTCTCTAATATAATACCATGTCCTGAAGCTCGGCTTCTGTAGGATTCAAATTTAAAGAACGCATAACTACACCAAGTTCCTTTGTCGTGATAGCTCCGTCACCGTCTTTGTCGAATAATTTGAAAGCTTCACGGAACTCTGCGATTTGTTCTTCTGTAAGTTGATCGGCCTGATGGATTGTTATTGAATGTTCCTCTCTCTTTTTTTTGTTTCTTTTTTCTTTTCTCTCTCTCTTTTGTTTCTATTAACTTTTGTTGCTTACCATTTTCAAGAACGAAATAAACAAAAAAAAGGGGAAAAAAAGAAAAAGAACAGAACTATAAAAAAAATTATGAGATGCGTCACACAAACCACTTGTCTACAGCTTATGTAAACTGGGAATTAAAATCTATACCCTTCAAAATTTTTTCTTTTTTTGTTCTTTCTTTCTTACCAATGCCTGAATCAGTAAAGACCTTCTCTTTTCTTCTCTTTTCTCTACTTATGAGAACATTGTAACTAAATCTATTTGTAGAGAAAGAGACGTACATTTGACAACAAAGAACTTTCTGGTCCCGACTATGGTAAAGAGAGACCTGTCAAGAAGCAAGACATCAAAAAGACCATATCAGAGAAGCCCAGAAAGCATACAGTGACAGTAGCTATTCCTGGAAGCATCATTGACTTCGCTCCAACCCTAGAACTCAAGACGATTCTGGCCGGACAAGTAAGAAGGATAAAAAGTGAGAATATCATCATTGACTTTAATAGCTTGCGAGAACCTTTGCATTATTCTGTGTGGATGAAGTTGTGATATATCAAGATAAAGTCGTACATCCTTCAGCCAAAGTAAATCCAAATTTATTCTTGGCAAGAATACTACAATATATGGAAACACCTCCTTATTTGCGAAAGGCACTTGTACCCATTAGTTCCGACTTGAAGTTTGTTGGTTTACTACCGCCTTTAGACGCCCCACATCACCCATCTCGGGAAGACATGACACTCTATCGAGAGGGTGTGACGCTAGACAAGGCAGATGATGAATCTACACTGGTAGATGTCGGCCTTTTCAGACGAGCTCGTATCGACCGACCTGTTCAGCCTAATGTTCGCGTCACAGTCGAACTGAGTCAAGTCGTGGCAGCAGCAGACACCAAAAAGGGACAAAAGCCGATCCAGGCCAAGGCGGTGAGTCCAAAGACACCGAGAGAGAAGAGTGGGATCTATTGGGGATATCAGATCCGTGTGGCATCATCATTTTCTAAAGTGATGGCTGAAGCGCCCTGCAAGTATGATCTGTCAATAGGTGTGAGTGATCAAGGAGGAGACAACCTCTTTCACTCGTCTACAATTAAGAATAAATTCAAACCCTTTGGGTAAGTTGTATTGGAAAGAATGATCAAAAGACACTAATCCCCCTCGTTTATTAGGCATATACTCATTGCCTTTGGTACACCCAATGGCGGATTAGAAGAAGCTATTGAAGCAGATGAGGATCTAAAAGAGGGAGGGGAGAATGCGCATGAATTGTTTGATCTGTTTATACAGTCTGCAACAAGCGGCACACGTTCTGTGCGTCTAGAGGTATACAATATCATAAGCATATGCCTCACAACATAAACTAAAGTATTCATATAGGAATCAATCATGATGGTCATGTCTACATTAAAACCCACCATAGCGAATAAAGGCAAATCATAACTTTCTTTTTTTGGACACTGTGACCATTTAGTTTTGTTGTGACTTTTAGCATCTTTTTTTTCCTCCCAGGGCCTCTTTCTTTTTTTTTAACTATTTATCATGTTGAGAGCAACGACCGCCAAGACTGTCAAACTTCCTTTATGGAAATTCTCTGCTCAGTGCTATAGTACACCCAGTCTTGCCGAGCGCCTTGCAGGAGCAGGCCGTGGTCAAACATTAAACAACAGTGATCCCTTTGCTGACTTTTTGACGCCTAAAAAGAACAATAACAGTAACAGCAACAACAAGAACAAGAACAAGAACGGAATGATGGGCAACAGAAATAGAAATGACAGTAGAAGAAGAAACCAGAGAGCACCTGTTGAAGGACAATTTGCTGATGCAGAAGAAGAATCCAGCAATAAGCCAATTATTAAAAAAGAAATGAAAGACAAGAGACCTTTAAGAAAAACAAAAGACAGAAAACCTATGCGTTCTGGTGTCAAACATGAAGCTGTTCGCACTCGTCGTGCTACGTCATTTATTGACAAAGATATTGATTGGACAGCTCTTTCGATTGAAGATGTGTCGACATCAGAACAGCAGCAACCACAAGAACAAGAACAAGAGCAAGAGCAAGAGCAAGCGGTGGCTGTCGATGAAAAAGAATACCAACCTTACCTTTCAGTTGGTTCAGATATTCAATGGTCCAAAATCATCAAAGGTGATGTAATGAGCACTCTCGTCGGAAGCAATGCCACACTCGATCTTCAACAAAAGGCCTTGTTCTTATCTACTGTAGCCAATGCCACTTCAGGTCAACCATTAAGAAAGTAATCTATAGAGAAAAATAAACAAAAAAATTAAAATCTCTCCCTCTTCTTTTTTTTCTTTTTTTTTTGCAATGAGGAAAACTCTTGTTCTATTGTTCCCAAAGAAATTTCTTGAGCAGCCACCATGGACAACTATGCAAATGACAACAGCCAAGAAACTGTTTTCAAAGCAGGTTAGTTTTATAAAAAGCATATCTCAAATGGATCAAGCACCAGATCTACAAGGTCGACCTGAAGTGGCATTTGTTGGAAGAAGTAATGTTGGGGTAATGACTTGATATGCAAAGCAAAGAACAAGAGAGATTAAGATTAATTATAGAAATCAACCTTGATCAACAGTTTGACAAATAATTCAAAGCTAGTTAAGACGTCTAGTAAACCTGTAAGACAATGGAAAGAAACAAGTTATGATTATTTATCGGTTCGTTAGGGACATACCCGGCTACTGAATTTCTTTAACCTCGGTAATCAACTGACACTGGTAGACATGCCGGGCTATGGATATCGATCCAAGGCAGAATGGGGAGATCTCATCCTAGATTATCTAAATACCCGTCGACAGTAAGGAAAGCAGGATAGACGTGAATAAACTTCTCTAATTTATGTTAGGCTCAAGAGACTCTTTTTACTGATCGACCCTGTTGCAGGAATAAAGGAGACGGATAAAATGTTGATAAAACAGTTGGATATACAAGCGGTATCCTTTCAAGTGATATTGACCAAACGAGATAAACTATCAGACGAAGAATTCAACCGTTCGAGATCATCTATAGAAGAATATCTGGCAGAGGAATCAATCTGTTGTTATCCTCAACTTCTTGTCACAGGCAAGAAACGAAAGAGCAAGCCAGGGGATGCTGAATACATGGAGCAAGAGCTAACAAGAGTTAAATGTGCCATACTTTCTGCAGCACAGCTTATATAAAAGTTTGTTTTTTTTTTTCTTTTATTATGTGTAAAAAATGAGAAAGGAAAAGGGAAAGTATTATTTGTAAAGATTATAGGTACTTGTTCTCTTTTGTTGTTGATGAAGATGCTGGTTCGATCTATTTTGTTGCTGCATCATGGGCATGAATTGTTGTTGTTGTTGTTGAATGGGTGTTGACATGCTGATGGTAGGTATGGGTGAACTTTCACTACGCATCATGGTCATCCGAGGATCATAATACATGAGTGTACTAGAGGGCCTTTGCCCCATGGCATTTTGTCCTACAGGACGAAGTTTGTTGACGTTATAGTCACTTTTACTTGCTCTTGTCATCTGATGATGCTGATGATGTTGTTGCATTTGTTGAAAGTTAATATTATGTGTACCCTGTTCTGGCAGCTTGCTGAGGAAACCATCAGCAAAGTTAGCCTTGGATGGATCCGGCATCTTCTTTCTATTTTTACGCGTTGCTGCCTTTTCCTCTTCCAACTGCATCATGAGATCCATTGCGGATACACTCTTGCGGTTCTTTTGCTTTTGCTGTTGTTGTTGCTGCTGCTGTTGGAGCTGCATGGCTTGTTGATACTGTTGAAATTGGGCCATTTGAGCCATCTGTTGTGCCTGTGCCATCTGCATCATATGTTGCATTTGCATATTATAGGCCATCTGTTGTTGTTGCTGGAGATAGGTATTATACATGTCCATTTCACTCACGGATCGGGGATAATTAGCACTAGAGGGCGTGGATATACGGAAGACAGGCTCTTCAATCAAATCGTCAGAAGGTGTCGTGCTACTCACGGTTGATCCTGGAGTATCTACGTCCAAGACAGACATGCGCCATTGTTCGATTGGATGTTGTTGCTGTTGTTGTTGGACTTCTTGAGTGACATCGCCTGTACTCCTGGCTCTTCTGTGGACACTTGGACCACGTTCTAATTGCTTTAATGTAGACATACGTCTGTCATACATATGCTGTTCATGTTCTATATGATGTTATTATTACCAAACACAATGCTGATAAACAAGGGTATTACCTTTGTGTTCTACTTTCTCGACCTCTTCCTCCTCCTTCTCCTCTTCTTCTTCTTCTTTTTCTTCATCATCATCATCGTCTTGTTCTTCTTCTTCTTCGGAGTCCTCATCATCACTCGGCTGTATCGTGCGTTTAGATACTTTTCCCTTTTCTTTGTTATTGTTATTGCCTATGATAATTTCAGGAGGAGGAATATTGATATCTAATTTGGGCGCTCCGGTACTAATAGATGTAGTAGACAATGGTTTCATATCTGGCTTAGATGTCTGTGGTTGTCTATTAATGACAGTCTTTGGCTCTTGTTCTTCCCCTTCACTCTCACTTTCTTCTTCGTCTTCTTCCTCCTCTTCTTCTTCATCATCACTCGGTACAAAACGGCGGTTATTTTTAGTTATAGCTGAATGCATAATAACACCTAGAAAAATTAAAGTCACATGAATATCCAAGGAAAGAATTCAGAAGAAAAAAAAGAGACATACTTGATTTGTTATTTGATGAAATGGACGAGCTACTTGAGCTTTGAGGTCTATCGCTTGATCTTGTACGATTCATTGGAGCAGGAAGATGGTGTTGCTGTGGATACGGATGCTGCTGCTGTGGATACGGTTGTTGTTGTAGTTGTTGTTGCTGTTGTGGATATAGTTGCTGTGGATACTGTGGCGAGGGCTTTGGTTGTCTTGGAATATACTTACGTCCCTTTTTGATAGATTGTGGATTCATGATCGAGTTCTTCATATCATTTGTAATATGAGATTGATGAAAGATAACACTCTTTGACCAAGGTTCTGCTTCAATTTCATCAGTATCAGGCGTCTTGATGGCTTTAGCGAGAGCGAGTCTTGACAAGCTAACAGATACGTCTTCTAAAGACATTGTTTATTTTTTGGAGGGAAAAAGAAAGAGAAAGAGAATAATGAAGAAAAAGGGGGGAAGAAAAAATGCCACAGAAGAGTTTTTGTTTAATTGTCTGAGATTAGAAATGATGGATGGTGAACAACCAAAAAAAGATGTTAAAGTTTATTTTTACTGTTATTATTTTTAGAAAAGAAAGAAAGAAAAAGAAACGCATTTGCGAGTCCTACTCTCCATTTATGAAGATGCACCCGAGAGATTGTCCTTGGTAAAATTCAAAGAGAGAAAAAAAAAGCCATTGCGTTTTTTTTTTATAATATTCTCCCTCCCTCTTTTTGCTATTGTATAATGGAATAAGGATAAACCATTGTTGCTCCAATTTATCACATGAGCTTCAAGTAATCGATTCGCTTGGCACAGATAAAAGCATACGTGTTTCATGTTTCTTTCTTTCTCTCTCTTTCTTTGTCACTTTCTGTATCCCGCGACTTTTGGTTTCCTTTTTCTTCATTTCTCCACAATCCATTAATAAGTCCGCACTCCTTCCAATGGCTCTAAACGTGGCCCTCCGATGAAAATGACCAACCCCAAGTGCCTCATTGCAGCTCGTTTGTGCGCGTGCAAGTAAAGACAAAAAGACCCTTTTGTCTTTTAAACCTAACAAGGGGGATCTTTCCTTATTTGGATATTCACCAAATTATGTAATTAGCACTAATTAATAGGCATTATTTTCCTTCCATGTGTCTTTCATTATGCTTTCTTTTCTGCAACCATGTGTGTGTAATGATAACCCTCATTCCAGTTGAAACTAGACTAAAAACGAAATGATTTTTTTAACTTTTATTATAAGTTACAATACATGCTTTCTTTGTTTACAACACTTTATTATTTAATTTTCATTCCATCCATTTCGTTTCATAATGTCTTCCAAATACTTTATTCTCTTTTTATATTCGGCTTCTTTAGCGTACAAACTCTTTTTCTCTGATTCCAAAACTGCATTATTCAAGATTAATTTGGCATTCTCCGCCTGCAGAGTAGCTACCCTCGTTTCGAGTTGATCCACTTTTAATAATTTCTTCAACCTTGATCTTCTTGCTGCATCTGTATTCTACATATGAAAAAAGGGAAAATTGAGAACAGATATAGAATAAAATAATTAAGGTTTTACCTTTCTTCGTTTCAATATGTCTTCATCAATCTTACCATCCTCAGACGGTTCGGGTTCGGGTAATTTTCTGATACCTCTCGGTTTAGGTAGTGGCCTTGACAGTTTGAACTCTTCAACGGGCTCCTTTTCTGGATGTAGCTCAACCGGTGGTTTATCATTACCGCCCCAGGAGATATTGAATACGTTGTTGTCTTGTCTGTTATTTGCTTGTGCTGACGATGTGCTTGCTGAGGTCGCAGATGTTAAGTCATCGAGTGTTTGTTTTTCATAGATTAGTTTGGATAGAGAAGGACTATTGTTTATTACGTTTGCGTCTTCCGAACCAGGAATAGAAAGTGTATTGATATTGTCCCAAAGTAATTCAGGCTTTAGTTCGGCTGATTCCAAGGGTGGAAACAATTGATGTCGGCTATTCTCATTAAAATCAATATTATTGCAGTTACTATTATTATTCATATTAACAAAAGAACGAGAAGAGTGAAATCAAGTTGGCATTATAATAAAAAACAAAAAAACAGAAAAAAAAAAATAAAAGAGCAAAGAAGAAAAGAGTAAGGCAAGGTGAGAGAGTCACGTATAAAAAAAAAGTGTCACATAATGCGTTTGTTTATTTTAATCATACATGGATATTTACACGAAAAGACAGATACATAAAGATGAAGGTATACACAATGAATAAATAAATATATTAATGAGCCAAACGACCAGTATAGCTAAGCCTCTTACTTCTTCTTTCTTGTACCATTGCCAACACCCTCTTGGCTGACTCTGTTGCCTTTTCTTTTTCTGTCTTTACAGGCTCCATCGTATGTCGCTTATTGTCAGTAGACAGATACGACAGACGCCTTCTGATATCTTCTACACTACTATTACGCTTTAAGGATGATCTATTGCTCAATTTATCTTGAGTAATACGTGTTGATACACGAGGTTCATTGACAACAACTGGCTTCTTTAAAGACCATCTTTCTATGCTATCTCTCTTTTGTGCACGATTTAGATAAGAAAGGGCAATATCTCTGTCTGTCTTGTCTTCCCTTGGACGTGCTGTGATATCATGAACACTGGCCCTTGGACGAGCCAGATAGGTCTCTGTCTTGTACTTGTTGTCTTCGCTTGTTCTTCTGGGACGGCCCACTGTATCTTCGCTTGTTCTTCTCGAACGATTCACACTGTCTTCACTTATTCTTCTGGGGTGAGCCAAGTAACTCTCAACATTCATTTGAGACATTCTTCTTGTGCGACTCATATCATCTTGCTGTCTAGACGAACGACGGGCCATTCCTCTTGGTTGTTCTTCGCTTGCTCTTCTTAATGAGTAGCCCTCGACCCTGGGCCTTTCCTGAGCCTCACTGTTTGTTCTCTTGGTTCGGGTCAAGTAATTATAATTTGTGACCACAGGTCGTACAATAGGCGATTTAGTTAAATCAGGCACGTTCTTTTTTATGATACCCTGATCTCTATTGGGTTCATCAAGGCTCTGCCTGTGATAGACAGCTTCCCTGTTGCGATCCAAGCATTGACTATATCGCTTAGATGGAGGAGAAGGGGGATCATAATAGACATCATTTGAGTGAGAGGATGAAGTTGTGGTCGAATTGCCTGAGCTTCGTGAAGGGGCCATTGATTGGCTAGTCTTTTCAAGAGTGTAACGTGGAACAGAAGGCTCACATGAGTTACGAAAGTGCTGTAGAAGAGAACTTCTTCGTTTCATGAATGCTTCACTATCGCGTTTGAGTCGTTCGTAAGCTTTAGAGTCTATTTCTTTTAGTTGATCTAAATAGACTTGTTCCATTTGTCGTTCTCTGATATATGACTGTTCAAGTGCTGATAGCAGTTGACTTTTTCTATCTTCATTATTTGTATTACGTCTGGTTGATGTCTTGAAGCTAAAAAAGTTACAGATTAATAATAATACTAATATAAAAAAGGGGAGATAGCTTTTACTCTTGAATGTTTGTCGTACGAGATGAAAATTTGACGCTACTGGTTGGCCTTGAGGATAGTAAATCGTCCATATCGTAATGACCCATAAACTCACGAAGGTCACTGTGGACAAGGTCATCAACGGTAGCGGTATCTAATGATATTGGTTATGTTTCAACTTTATTATGCAACTTTATTATTACCTTTCAAGTTCCTGAATAACTGAACACTTTCAGCATAAGGTGAAGAAGTGGTTCTATATTTATTAGGAGTTGGTGTGACTAAAGAACGGGTCAACTCGTCTAGTTGATTATCGTCAATACTGGATAAACTGATAAGTTGAGATGACTCTTCATTGAAAATATCATCTAAATCTTCTAGTTCGTTTGGATCATACGCATAAAGCGACCTCTCAAAGATGGACATTTTTATATATGAAAAATATTAAAGGAAGAGGAAAAAAAGGGGATAAAAGAAAAAAGAAAGAAAAGAAGGAATTATTACAATAAAAAAAAAAAACATCTGTGCGGTGATTTAAATCATATGTAAAATTACGAAAAAAGTACTGTTACAATGAAAATCATTATTGAGCTATTTTTTTTAAATTCGAGACCCTAATGAGTATTATTATTGTTGTTGTTGTTTGAGGGGGGAAATGCAACTCATTTTTTTTGGGTCAATCGCAAAATAACCTCTTTGTTATTTGTATGTCAAAATAAATATGCTCTCTTTTTTTTTTTTATTTTGGCCTTTTGCGCTATTTTCATAAATAGTATATAAATGTGCTTAATTTTCTTTTTCTTTTTTTTTTCTTATATAAAAATGATCATTATTAACAATATAAAATACGCTTGTGAAAGTAAGAAGAATAAAGGAAAAGACTGAACTTTTATTAACGATTTTTAGAATGCATACAAGTAACTAAATATTTATAAATTAAAAAACAATGCATTAAGTTGTAATTTAGGGACATAGATCATCTCGTTGTGATCATAGAGAAAGAAAATTAGTTGCTGTTAGAAAGAAAGGAAGACCGATTAGTCAATGTGATAGTTGTAGAGAGAAAAGAAAGATTAAGCAAATTCACCAAAAATGTGAATGTTTGTTAAAGAAGAAATCAAGACTTACATCCACTCGTCGCATCATGTCTATCGAAGCTTTACTTGTCTAATATCAATCTCACATGCTTACATTATATACCACGCATCTCTTTTATATAAAGAGTCAATTTTTGTAAAATTACCTCAAATAAATCAATATTCTCTAATCGCGTTCATTTCCTTACATGTAAAATGCGCTTTTTGAGCTGTAGCACACACACATATATATATATACATACATACGAAGTCAGAAGCTAATCAAATACCGCATCTTATTCACTAAAATCGATTTACACGCTCATACAAAGAATAAAAAAGAAGACAGAATATCCTGTGAGGCAACAGAACTTTTGTCCTTAGCCTCTTTCTACACTAAACCATTTAAAGTCAAATGCCCCTAGCTCCCTTCCCTCCCCCCCCCCATTTCTTTTTTCCTTTTTTCCACTTCAACGTGACAACATAGAAATATGCTCATCACACATCATCATTGTTTGTTATTTATCAGCTGTTTTTTTCATATCTTTACTTACGAATCTATTGATCTAAGGCTGTCATTAAACTTCATTTTGTACTTAAAAAAGCTTAAAATATTCGTTGGAATGACATAAGATAAGAATAGAAGGGGTAAATCGGCACAAACACACGCTTATACGCTCTAGTCGGATGTTTAACTTGATAATGCTCAGACGCATGCTAGAACTAAACGAAGCGACTATATAGCGATGTTCTCACCTATCAATAGAGTTTTCTGTTGAAAGAAAAGAATGCGTTGATAGAATTCTGTATCCATAATTGATATAGTCCAATTAATGTTGATTTATTGTTAATATCTGCATTGACATCACGCTGTTATACATATTACTTTAAATGTTAGTACGTATGCATAAATCATCATTATTTCCCATTGAATAGGCTGCCCTTGTTTTCTCCAATATCACCAGTAAACGTTTTTGCCATCTGCCTGTTACTGTACAAATAGCCTCACATTTCTCTGTGACGATATACATTGAAGCTGTAAATCACAAGCAGAGTGCAAAATTGATGTATTTCTTGATAAAACTCTTAATTGAGGAATCAATGTTTGCGTAATTTTTTCATGGGATTATAAGCAGGTTGTTCCCTATTTTTAACTTTTTGCTTTGTGCTTGCCATGCAGAATCCAGGTCTAAATCTGTTTAAACAAGTTGATATAGTACTGTACTGACCATACTTGCTGTGTACTTTGTCATTCAAGTGTATCTGGATCGATGTAAGCAATGTGATCAGTAAAGCTGAGTCCAAATGATTTTTTGGCTAAAGGACAAAGACCTCTTGTCTAATTAATGAAATACGCTCGTCTCAATACCAACTTCTTTTTGTCATAATAAAATGCTATATATACTCTGAGTGTAATAAACCTACCGCTCTTGACTAATAAAAAGCGCTCAGTACCTTTAATAAATGTTAACATGGCCCCGTGAACGAGTTTTTAAAAATTATTCATGCATAGAGATATCGCTTGGTTACCTTGAGACATCAGTTTTACAGTGTGTCGACTGTTGAGAACGTATCAAAAATTACTATAAAGTCAAGTATCAAATAACAAAAAAAGAGGTGGTCAACAAATAAAAGACCAAATCCTATACTGATGATACCAAGTGCATAAAATGTGGTCAACAAGACCACAGTAGTGTAAGGTCACTACTGTTTCCCTTTTTATAACGTGACAAAGGTTTATGTAGTTGAACAAAGTCTTGGCCTAAGTTGTTAAAGTATATGCAAGAAAAACTTCCATTTGGACCAAATCCTCGCAGGAAAAATCTTTAGAATTTTGAATGTCCCAACTTTGCAGTTTTTTCTTTTTGAGAGGTTAAGAAGCAGCCAGTGGTATCAAAAGTCATAGTGCTGGACGTGAACGGCCCTTCGTGTTAGAAGATTGTAACCCTCTTTAAGCATCAATCATCATAGTAAACACGGCCTATCCTCATTGTTTGCAGATTATTATAATCAAGAGTATTCATCCTCTTACAAGTCTACAGTTTTGATTTTCATTGTATCCTAAAAACATTTCTAATAGTCTGCTTTCAGGTACGAGCTAACAAGCACTACATGTAAACAAATTTAAAGACCGTTTAAATGTCTATGCAAGTCACGCCGACGTCACAATATTTTTTTCAGAATCTACGCGTTTTTATCACTTCATTGTCGTCCTTTCCTTTTCTCTTTATTCAAAAATAAGACTGATTTCAAAAAATGTGTACGTGTATTTATAGAACATGGAAACCTCCTTTGTGCTAATGGCATGATTTATAGCTTTTAGTTTTGGAGCTAATAACAGCAATACAAATAAACCTGCTACGGCTGGTTTTTCATTTGGTAGAAAAAAAACATAGAAGGAGAGATTAGCAAAAGAAAACTAAAAAAGAAAGGAAATTAGGCACAGGCAGCAACACAGCATCCGGTACGGGAGGCTTTGGCTTTGGAACACCTACATCTGCTCCAGCAACAGGTGCATTTGGCTCAACCACCACCGCACCAAGCACTGGTTTTGGCAGTACAGGAGGCTTTGGTGGACTTGGTGCCACTTCTTCTGCTCCCAGTACAAATAGTACTTTTGGTGGATTTGGCACTACTTCTTCTGCTCCTGCTACAACCACTAATACTACTACTACACCAAACACCTTTGGTGGATTCGGTTCTACTCCTGCAACCACAACTAGCTCCACGCCAGCTTTCGGAGGCTTTGGAGCCACTAGCTCGACACCTGCTAGTACTGCTGGCACTACTGCTACAGCCACTACTGGATTTGGCGGTTTTGGTGCAGCTGCTTCTAAACCTGCCACTGGTTTCGGTGCTACGACAACTGCACCATCCACCACTGGTTTTTCATTTGGCACACCTGCAACATCCGCAGCCGCTTCAACACCTTCTACGGCCACTGCTCCTTTAACTGGATTTGGCTTCGGTGGCCCTGCTAGTTCCACAGCCACCACTACAGCTAGTAAGCCTTCATTTAGCTTTGGAACAACTGCACCAGCATCAACCACAGCAACATCCACACCCGCTACAACAACCACTGCTTCCATTTCAACAGGCGGATTTGGAGGATTTGGTCAAAAGACAGATGGTGAATGAATTAATCGATTGATGTTGACAATTGTTTAGAATTAACCTTTTTTTAAATATCTAGTCAAACCTGCTACTACAGGCACTACTCCTACTACTACTTCTACTACCACTGCAGGACAGCAACCTGCGCTTACAACACAACCTGCCGTGTCTAAACCTGTGTCGGTGCCTACACCATCTACTTTGAAAAACAAAACGATGGAAGAGATCCTTAATTTCTGGACAAAGGAATTGGAGAAACAAACAAAAGATTTCCACAAGCAAGCAACCCAAGTTTCTCAATGGGATCAACAATTGATAGAAAATGGAAACAAGGTTTTTATATACATATTTTTCATTGTTTTGCTTTGCTCACATTATTTTTTTAAAAAAAAAAAAAAAAAGATTGCTGCTCTTCACGAGAACGTTAAAAAGGTTGAACTTCTTCAACAGGAAATTGACTCTAATCTGGGCTACATCAACACCCAACAGGAAGAATTAAGCTCACTTCTTGATCAATATGAGAAGCAAATCAAGGATGTCTTTAATGAAAGCAATCTTCAACAGCCTATGCAAACAGCCGATACACAAAGAGAAAAGGCTTACGGTTTAGCAGAAAGCCTCAATAGTCAGTTGGATGATGTTAACAGAAACTTGAATATCATGGTTGAAGAAATTAACAAGATGGGTACCACCAAACAATCCGCTGGTGATGAAGATGATGTGGTATGTCTTTGAATATATATATACATATTTATATACTCACCTCTTTTTTTTTCCCTTAGGTTGGTCAAATTGTTCAAATTCTTAATTCTCACTTATCTTCCTTACAATGGATTGATACTCATTCTGCAAAGTTGCAAAACAAAATTCAAGAAGTTAGTAAACTGCATGGAGAAGTTGCATCCAATGTTCACTTTCATTAAATATAATTCCACTTTTTTTTTGTTTTCTTTCTTTCTTTCTTTGAATAAACTATGCATAAATAACTAATTGTTTTATTTGTGAGAGAAGCTTTTATTTGAGTTCAGCCAAAGCCTTCTTGAGTTCTTCACTGTCATGATCAAACCTCAGACCAGTTGAGAATGCATCAGCTGCTTCCTGAAGTCTGCCCAGACCAACAAGAGCCTTTCCCTTTCTAAACCAGCCTTTACTCCACTCGCGCTTCAAACGTGTCACTGCCTCAGCATCGACGTAAGCCTCTACATAATTCTTTAGTGATAGATGAGCAGCCGATCTATTACTCAAGATAGGTGCTAACTCTTCTCTGACAAACTGAAAGGCAAGAGGTTCCCAAAGAGGACGAGACCAGGCAAGGTCGACAGCCATACCATAGAAACGAATAGCCTCACCAAAGTTAGCTTGTTTAAAGAACTTGTTGCCTTCTTCCTTGAGACGAGTTACTTGAGCATTACGTGTTGGGTTAGGTGCATTAGGTGGTGGCAATTCTTTCACTTGTTTTAACGTGGCAGCTAAAGCGTTATGCTCTGTCCAATCCACTTGACATCTGCTACACTTTTCTAAGCTATGTTCTTTACATAGAATTCTGTCACCGTCGTTAGATGCTGTTACTTCGGGCTGTAAATAAAGAGTGGCCATGGTATGTACGAGATGAAGAAAGAGAAAAAAAAAAGATATTATTCGTAAATTATATAATTTTTGGTCCCGCTTGAAGTGAGTAACATTCTCTCATTTGTGTATGTATGTGCTCTGATGCCAACAACCAAGGTAATTATTCCCTTGCTCTCTTTCCTTCATTTTCTAGTGTGCGTGTAATTAAAAAAAGTATACGTGTATCATAAACAGTGTGAACGAGATAGCCTCATCTCTAGAGTTAATCAGGTACACAAAGCCAGCAGTTTAAGAAAAATAGCGTCAAATAACGTTTGAAAAAGGAATCAAACCTTGTATGCTTTCTTGAATCACCTATTGTATATAAAAGGTACATTATAGGATACAGTCAAAGTAAAAAGCCTTATATAAGAATGAATAGCAAAGACCTAGATCTTGTGATCGATTACTACTCTATTGATGAATTGCCTCAGACATTACGCGATTGGACCTTTAATCTTGTCAAACAGAACTTATACTACATGTAAAAGGTCTCTTTATAAGCTATTCATAATTAATATGCCCAATAGGTATGCCAATTCCAACGACGGCTGGAGCGATGAAGGGAAAAAGAAAGAGATGTTCGCACCAGAGGCCAGATATCTCGTAGCTCGGTCAGCCACGGATGAAGACGATTTGAAGGGCTTTTTATTATTCCAAATGGTTCAAGAGGAAACAATGGATGATGATGTTATGGCCAATTGCGCTTACTGGTATAATAATCAGATTGTACTGTAGAAAACTATGTTCTCTTCCTCTCTGATACGCGTTTTATTATATTAGTTATGAAATACAGTTGATAGAAGATGCTAGGAACCAAGGCTTAGGTGAATTTTTTATGAGTTTATTGGATCAAATAGGAAGCTATTGGAAGATGGATAAGGTCATGTTGACAGTATTTAAAGGTAAAAGAGATGGGAGATGCAATCATGTTGAGTATATGTCTAAATCCCTATTTTAACAGCTAATAAGGGCGCTTTTAAATTTTATACAGAGAAACTAGGGTAAGTCAATATGTCAAACAAAAGGGAGAAATAATAGAACTCATACATGTATTAGGTTTGAACTGGATGAAATTTCACCTGGGGCATGCTTACCAAGATACAAGGCAAAGCATTTTGATTATGAACTGTTAAGCAAACCTTGTCAGGCAGATAGAAAGAAAAAAGAACAAGAATAACTTGATCTGTAAATAGCATTTTAAAGAATATTAAATGAATAAACATTACACCATGACATATGCTTTTTTATCCTCTTTGTGCCCAGACGTACTACTGTCCGCGCGACACCATATTCTTTTTGTAATCCTTTTACTAACAGAGAAAGAAAGAGATTGACGATAAAAAGATTTTTTTATATGAGAAGGCTGGCAAACCAATGCTCCGAGTTTATTTAAGATATACACTACACGCACGAAGAAATACACGAGAAGGTTAATACTACAGGCGCTTACTCTAGGTGCTACCTATGATGCCATTTTACAACTTCACACTACCAAAGTCGCTATCTAGCCTAAGTCTACCCAGTGGGATATTCTTTATAAAGCTTCATCATAATTACACTTGAGTAATCTTGACTCTTTGCCGATCAAACTGACAACATAAAATTAAAATACAGTAATAACAACATTATTTCTTTCTTCTTGAAAAGAAAAAAAAAATTAAGGTAAATGCGTATTCTACATCAAGGAATATGGAAAGATATCTGTTCCTGAACAAGCTTAACGTGACGTTGCACATTGAAAAGTTTCGTTGGCGACATCAAAGATAGTGTCTGTAGCATTAACCTCTCGTGGATTTTCTCGTGCATGTAGTGTGCATCCTCCATAATAGTGAAGCGATGTTTGTAAACCAGTAACTAAAGAACCACCAGTAGGAATATGAAGGAAATCCAATTGAACTCTGGTAAGAGATAACACATAGTTGCGGTCAGAAGCGGGGGTGTGGTAATTGATACTATCAATACATACACCATCGGAAAGAGCTACCTGGCGGTGTGTAGCATGAACAGACAAAGCTTCAATGAACAAATCTGCATTTGGTTGTTTATTGTAGTGACTGATATGTTTGGTGCCATCGATGTTGTGGTATTCTTGATAAATAAGTATAAGGCGAAAGATTCAATGAGAAAGAATATGGGGAAGTTTATTTCTAATCAAATTAGACCAAGACTTCAACTGCTAAAAGATCCACCGTATTTATACCAAATGATAACCTAGAATGAGTACAACGTGAGATGTTGTTACTTATTAAACTATCCTGACAGATACTTCCATAATTGAACAAGTTTCCCCTTTAAGGGTTCTTTTGTCTGCTCGTTAGAACTGATTCAAGGACCCATTGGCTCAATCCAACTGATTATGCGAAAGTTATTACTCCTCCTGCACCTTTCTGTACGTGAGTATTTCTCCAGTTGTACCAAAGCGCAGTTTAAGTGAGAACTAATAAGCTGACAAGAAAACTATTCGTGTGCTGTGATTGAAGTTAATGAAAAGAGCAGTTGAGCTTCGATAACGTATAGATTCAGCCTTTTATTTATAAAATCCCTGAATCTACATTTATCTCAAGTAAGAGAATCGTGACCAAAGCATCTACTATTACTTGTTTGTGGAACCTTACACCCTACATATGCGTGTACTGAACCCACTATATATCCATTACTCCATATATAGCATTTAGTTAGGCGATAACTCGTAACAACACTTTATATGATATCAACTGTTCTAGATCTTATCTGAGTTAGCTACTCTCACACAAGGCTTGATATCATTAAGTATTATATCACGCTTTACTGTCTAGTATTGTATTGGATGAGTTTCTTTATTGATATTTATCAAATATGTTGTTGTATTTGGATTTGGATAGGTTTAAACAAAGTAAAAATACGATGAGACTGTGTTGTATCTTTATTCAGAATAAAGTAAAAAGAAAAGAGATGATAGCACAATCTATAATTATATATTAAGAAGCTGAGGTATTTAAACTGAGTTGACTATATTTGATTAAGGTGTAACAGATCTTATAGCAGCATTAGGTTCAACTCTAGATATTGTATTTAAGCAATGAATAGTAGCGTGGATACTACATATGTAACAACATATTTGTTCGATAAAGGTTACCATCAATTAACTTATCACAACACGATTATAGAATATCACCTGTAAACGGTGTACCTTCACTAGATTATATGACATTTCAAGTATAAACTCTTATTGTCTGTATTTTCATATTTATCCAGTTACTCAAAGTGTTAAATATATACTTCAGTGTAACTGTATTGTATAGTATATCTCTTCAAATACGATAGATGTCTTCAATCTGATATCTAATGACCCGGTATGCTTCATGTTGTGATTTAAACAACTGGTGAGGGAAAGAAAAAACTACTGCACCAGGTGTGAGAACCTGTTGGACGATCGCTACAGCTCAACGATTAAAGAGCTAATCTGACAATTCAAGGTCCTCAGGGATGACATGAGGGGTAAGCTTCAAATGTTCAGCACTTTGAGCTTGCTTTCGACTGGTCGTAACAGCGCTCTTCTTAATGTCCTTAGTGACAACGGTGGACCATGGCATTTCGCTCATCTTGGCAGATTAGATGGAATCTAGATCTGATGTCGATCTGTACTTGGTGATGATGAAAAGCTTTGATTGATTGGATCTTCGTGTAATATATGAATATGCGAAAGAGCCACCATAGATCAGCTATAATTTTTGTATCAATGGACTTTATTTCACCAATCAGTCACTATCCAAACAAAAAGAGACGTTTTTCCGAGTCCACATGAAAATCACATGATGGTCACGTGAAATTTTTTAGCTATAAAAGTTCTAAAATCCAACAAAAAACGGAAGCGGGTATAGCTCAGCTGGGAGAGCGTTAGACTGAAGATCTAAAGGTCGGGTGTTCGATCCACCCTAGCCGCATAATATTGAAGACTTCCTTCCTTAATAAGAAGGATGTGGGTCTAAATTCTTTTTATTCTGTGTTCCATAATGTTACACAAAGCTTATGCTTATTGTGATGTAACGATAGCGGAGTTGAAACAGATGAACTTCATGAGACAGACGAACTTCACGACTTGTATGAAGTTCAAACAAATGAATTTTAAATTATTTTAGTGTAACTACTATTTTTGGGAATTTGTTTCAGAGGACGACATTGTTGAAGGA